GTCAAGGATTTAGGATATTGCAATCTGTGTCCCCATAATGTAGGGTCTACCAGCCAGCCAACACACACACAAACACATAAACTTGAATTAAATACCGAAGTCCTCATTTCCATACAGCTAATCATTAATACTCTGAACTTAAACCCATACCTAAACTACTAAAGTACTTTGTTTTTATAGACGATGATAGCACCAGATGTCCCTGATGGACGTATATGTAAATGAACACGCACACACACCTCATGGTCAACATATGCCAACCAAAATGTTAATTAACATATTATCACTATTATCAATTTGCATGAGAGAATTTTTTAAAACAGTGGCTTTCATCCACAAGATTAAAGTATGTGTCCAAAGCACATGTGTGTATTGATCAGTCGTGATTGACTAAGCTGGTCTTTCAATCAATTTGCACAATGATAAGATTTACAATTACACAAACAAACTTTTCAATGTGCAAAAACTACTCCTGTTTAATATAAGAAATGGACAGGTTAAGATTAAAAGCTAGGCCATGATCTCTGGCAGCAAGACGAGCCAAGGGAAGATGTGGGGATCATAATGTGACAAAAGCCTCCTTCAGCATCAGCTGAGAGCTATTCTCTCCCCGTCTGCTAATAACTGGATTAGTTGTGCAGGGAGAAAGGGGGTGGAGAGACAGACAGACTGAGCAGCAGGTCCAAACAAAACGGACACAGATTAAAAAACCAGGGGGGTGAAGGTGCTTTGGGATCCCAATTCCCACATGCATCGGGGAGGTGTCCTGACGAGCCGACTAATTATATCAATATTAGGGGAAAGGTTGTAGGTGGCATAGACAACGAGAGAGCGAAGAAGGGAGAACATTCTAAACAATGCTGGGTTGTTTTAACCCAAAATTGGGTCAAATATGGACAAACCCAAATGTTGGGTTGAAAAATGTAACTTAAAATTAACCCAATTTCAACTTTAACTTTCGGTACATTTTTAAATGACATTTTTAACCCAAATTTGGGTTTGTCCATATTTGACCCAAATTTGGGTTGAAATAACCCAGCATTTTTTAGAGTGAAAAATCTGCAATCAAAAAATACTTGACTATGAATATATTAAATATCTCTGTCAAATCTCATATCAGCCTGTTCTCATGTAAATGCGTCTCTATAACACGCATCATGTATTCATCGTGTAATTTAAACGCAAAAATTAGCGAAAATTAGTTTTTACGTGTATGAGACGCAGTTTTTCGCGTGCATTTGATACGCAGTTCATTTGCGTTTAATACACACACACCACTAATTCTACACTCTAAACAATGCTGGGTTGTTTTAACCCAAAATTGGGTAAAATATGGACAAACCCAAATTTATTTATTTATTTATTTACTGTTTATTTGAATAGGGACAGATACAAAAAACATAGATTATTACATAAAGAACAATCCGATGCCTGCATAGTGTTTATAGCCAAGGCTAATTCGCAACACCTGTCCCTAGAAGGGCCTAAAATGTCCCTAAAATGTTGGGTTAACAAAAAAAATGTAACTTAACATTTTAACCCAATTCCAACTTTTACTTTCTACTGTACATTTTTAAATGCCATTTTTAACCCAAATTTGGGTTTGTCCATATTTGACCCAAATTTGGGTTGAAATAACCCAGCATTTTTTAGAGTGAAAAATCTGCTATCGAAAAATACTTGACTATGAATTTATTAAATATCTTCGTCAACTCTCGTATCAGCCTGTTCTCACGTAAATGCGTCTCTATAACACGCATCATGTATTCATCGTGTAATTTAAACGCAAAAATGAGCGAAAATTAGTTTTTACGTGTATACACTCTAAAAAATGCTGGGTTGTTTTAACCCAACTTTGGGTCAAATATGGACTAACCCAGCCGTTGGGTTAAATTTTTACATTACATTTTTAACCCAACATTTCGGGTTTGTCCATATTTGACCCAAAATTGGGTTAGAACAACCCAGCATTTTTTAGAGTGTATGACACGCAGTTTTTCGCGTGCATTTGATACGCAGTTCATTTGCGTGTAATACACACACCACTAGTTCTACACTCTAAACAATGCTGGGTTGTTTAAACTCAAAATTGGGTAAAATCTGGACAAATCCAAATGTTGGGTTAACAAAAAAATTTAACTTAAAAATTAACCCAATTCCAACTTTTACTTTCTACTGTACATTTTTAAATGACATTTTTAACCCAAATTTGGGTTTGTCCATATTTGAGCCAAATTTGGGTTGAAATAACCCAGCATTTTTTAGAGTTAAAAATCTGCTATCGAAAAATACTTGACTATGAATATATTAAATATCTTTGTCAACTCTCGTATCAGCCTGTTCTCACGTAAATGCGTCTCTATAACAAGCATCATGTATTCATCGTGTATTGTCGTGTAATTTATACGCGAAAATGAGTTTTTACGTATATACTCTAAAAAATGCTGGGTTGTTTTAAACCAATTTTGGGTCAAAAATGGACAAACTCAAACACTGGGCTCAAAATGTAATTTAAAAATGTAACCCAATGGCTGGGTTTGTCCATATTTGACCCAAAATTGGGTTAAAACAACCCAGCATTTTTTAGAGTGAAAAATCTGCTATCGAAAAATACTTGACTATGAATATAATAAATATCTTTGTCAACTCTCGTATCAGCCTGTTCTCACACTCTAAAAAATGCTGGGTTGTTTTAGCCCAATTTTGGGTAAAATATGGACATACTCAAACATTGGGCTCAAAATGTAATTTAAAAATGTAACCCAATGGCTGGGTTTGTCCATATTTGACCCAAAATTGGGTTAAAACAACCCAGCATTTTTTAGAGTAGAGAGTATATGAGATGCAGTTTTTCGTGTGCATTTGATACGCAGTTCATTTGTGTGTAATACACACGCACCACACACCACTAATTCTACACTCTAAACAATGCTGGGTTGTTTTAACCCAATTTTGGGTAAAATATGGACAAACCCAGCCATTGGGTTACATTTTGAATTTATATTTTTAACCCACTGACTGGGTTTGTCCATATTTGACCCAAAATTGGGTTAAAGCAACCCAGCATTTTTTAGTGTCTACCCAAACGTATAATACACAAGCACCCCACCCCACACCTAAACCTACCCTAACCAACCAATGCGTATCTTATGCACGTAAAAACTCACTTTCGCGTATAAATTACACGACAATACACATGCGTGCTATAAAGACGCATTTATTGTGATCGGGTTGCTCATATTCAAATTTCTCTTGGTCTTGCAAAGTACAAATCTATCAGTGATGTTGCACTTCTTACACTCAAAAAAATGCTGGGTTGTTTCAACCCAATTTTGGGTCAAATATGGACAAACCCAGCCATTGGTTTACATTTTTAAATTACATTTTTAACCCAATGTTTGAGTTTGTCAATATTTGACCCAAAGAGTGTATATCCACAACAGGCAACTTTTTTTACACATTCATGATTTTCAAAATGGTACACAATACATAAAAAAGCTGGCATATATGAGAAGTATCATAATGCACTAATGAGGCAATATATAAGCTACAGCTTTAAAAAAAAAAAAAGCTGTCAATACCAAACATGGCTGTCTAAACCCTTCATTTGGGTTAGTCTGACCTTGTTTGGAGAATTAAAGAGATAGAAGGAACAGATATGACAGAGAGAGAGAGAGAGGGGGGGGGCACAGAGAAAACTATAAAAACAGCTGTGGTGCTAAGGAATTCTGGGAAACTCTATGAGACAACTTTCCACTCTTGACGTGAGAAAGACAGAGCAGATCCTCAGAGACGCTTTATAAACATTGCTAGCTTGAAAAGGGAGAGAGAGGTAAAGAGGGGTATTCTGAAATAAGGGAAACCATATTATCCATATATCTTTTAAAGATAGCTTAAAGAGTGATTTAGTATGTGTAAGAGAGCAACACAACTAGCATATAAGTGTTGAATTTATGTACACTCTAAAAAATGCTGGGTTGTTTCAACCCAAATTTGGGTCAAATATGGACAAACCCAAATGTTGGGTAAAAATGTAATTTAAAAATTTACAGTTGAAAGTGAAAGTTGAAGAAATTTGAAATTACATTTTTAACCCAACATTTGGCTTTGTCCATATTTTACCCAAATTTGGGTCCAAACAACCCAGCATTGTTTAGAGTGTTGTAAACAATGCTGGGTTGTTTTAACCCAAATTTGGGTTAAAACTCAAATGTTAACCCAACTTCAACTTTCACTTTCAACTACAAATTTGTTTATTACATTTTTAACCCAACATTTGAGTTTGTCTATATTTGACCCAAATTTCGGTTGAAACAACCCAACATTTTTGAAACTGAGAGAAGGGAGAAAATATGTAAGAAACTGTTCCTTTCTGTGCAATGAGGCAATGAATAAAGAAGGACAGATTTGTTCATTCTTAAACCCCAAATCACTCTACTGTAAATAATAAATGCTGGGTTGTTTCAAACTATGTTTGGGTCAAATATGTACAAACCAACCGTTGGGTTTCAAAATTGAATTTAAAAGTGTGAACCACTGGTTGGGTCCATATTTGACCTAACATGGGTTGAAACAACCCAGTATTTATAATTTAGAGAGAGCGTATAGCTAAATTTCAAATGACTTATATTCTTTACTTGTCCCAAAGAGACTTTATTGGTCAGTTTGGCCCTAGTTTATGGTATGCTAGTCTTAGGATCCTTGAGTTGAGTTTCCTCAATTATTATTTCACACTAAAATTGCTGGGTTGTTTTAACCCAACTTTGGGTCAAATACGGAAAAACCCAGCCATTGGGTTACATTTTTAATTACGCTTTTAACCCAACGTTTGGGTTTGTCCTTTTTTGACCCAAAGTTGGGTTAAAACAACCCAACATTTTTAATGTTCTCATGTTTTCCACAGCCTGCACAAAATCTAAGCAAAACACACTGTATGAACTCACTTAAATAAATCACTTAAACTTGTGTGTAGGGAACTAGAAAAACTGGTCTGGACTTACCTGTCAATGATGACAGGATCGGATGGTGTCTCGTTGCGATTTCCGCAGCTTTTTTTCTCGCAGCAGCGACTTTGTACGGGAAAAAGAGAACATAATGAATTATTAAAACTTGCTCCATAAGACCAGTACAATTAAGACTCAGAAAAAAAGGCAGGCCAGCAATCTGTCACATTGATTGTGAATGATCAAGCTCAATCCCTGCTTCTAAAGCATACACACACAAACCCGACCCTGTCAGACACACACACACACAATCCCCCCACCCCATCCACCACGCCACCAGCATAACAAAAGTGCCCCCCACCCCTGGCCATCTGCCTATATGCTTTCTCCTCACAGTCCCCCCCCGTCAGACAGAGTCACTCCCCAGCTGTGTGGCCTGCCCTCTGCACCCCCTTCCCCATCAGCTCTGTTATTAACCAGCTGTGAGCGCCCACTCGGGCATCTGCTGGCTACACAATGGGGGCAGAGCCAATGTGAGTCCCCTTCTGCCCTCCCTAATGCTGTCCTGAAGCCTGAGGTCACTGCACACCCCCTGTCTCTTCTGTCTCCTGTGACACTTGCTGTTCCTTATTCTCTCAGTCCAGCTACCATATACTCTCTTGGTCATTGTGCTTGTGCTTGTCCCAACCCAGACTCATTGAGGAAACATTACGTTGACATTACGTTGCGTCGTGCACGTTTCGCAACACTATTTTAAAAGTGAATCGTCAAGTGACGCTAAACGAGTTTTCAGTTTTATCTGAAACAGATTAACGTGAACCTTTTATGTAAGCAATAAGGTACGAGAGGCTGTGCTGTATCTTGAATAAGTAATGACTGAAGGGCGTTGTTAGGTTCGACGCGAAGCGGAGCTGTTACTTATTCACGATACAGCACTTGCCGCGAGTACCTCATTGGTTTTATAAAACGGTTACCACACAATAAACATATTAAAGTAATAAAAAAATATGTATTAGTGCAACTTTCATGAAGTAAAATCACTAAAAGCCTTCCTTCCGCTAGAAATAAATAGTCCCTGACCGTGACCAGCAACAACGTTCCAATGTGTAATATCCATGAAAGCTCAAATAAAAACAACATAGGAACCGCAGTGTTGCGCAGTGATACACAGAACCGTTGGGTGAATAAAATCATGAATAAAGCACAGCTATTGACCAATCAGAATCAAGGACTTGAACTAACCGTTTTATAATATGTTTTAAGGCATGGTTTTATTATGTGGTATTACATGGTATATCATGCATTTAATACAAGATCTGGCAATTGGTCAACATTAGACAAACATATTGGTCCGATTATTCATAAAGGAGTTTGAGACATGCAAATTACATGAGTTTCCCAGGAGAAATAACAAACCGGGAGATAGGGTTAAAAAACGGGAGCGTTGACAGGTATGTAGTGGACTCGTACTTTGCAAGTGCATGCAGATCTCAAAATGCATTTGTTTATAAATGATACACTTTAAAAGTGTTTTGAGGTCATCATGACATTGTATTGTGCAAGGAATTGTGCGAAAATAAGTTTTAATCAATCACAATCTGCTCCTGTAATTTTGTGTGTGAAAAGAAATAAAAGTTGTTGCGGTGTTGCCTCTGGTGTTCGTTTCAGCTACAACCTGCAGCGATGTGTATGTATTGGTAAGAGTTTTGAGTTCTGCAAAAATATGGTTGTGAGTGAATGTTCTGTCATCTTTGCATTAATGATTGTAAAACTAAGCAAAACTATGAGAGAGAATAGCACATAGCAGTCACTTGCCATTTAACTAGATCGGTACAATGTGAATCTTATTCAAATATCTCTGTTTTCACAGACCGCACTACAATGTGAAACCGCCACTTTCAAATTTATCCACTTCTGAGAGCATCTTCAAAAAGCTCAGTTTTTGCAGGACAAAAACACCATTTTATTGTGGACGGAAGGCCAAGATGTAGAAAAAAAGATGTTAGTATCTTCTGTGAACACACTTAAAGGAGGAGTTCACTTTTAAAAAAAAACTTTTGCTGATAATTTACTCACCCCCATGTCATCCAAGATGTCCACGTCTTTCTTTCTTCAGTCGAAAAGAAATTAAGTTTTTTTGATGAAAATATTCCAGGATTGTTCTCCATATAATGGACTTGGACAAACGGTTCAAGGTCCAAATGAGAGTTTCAGTGCAGCTTCAAAGGTCTTTAAACGACACCAGACGATGAATAAGGGTCTTATCTAGCGAAACAATCGGTCATTTAAAACATAAATAAAAAACTTTAAGTTTTATAAGCTCAAATGGTCACCTTGCTCTGTTCTGTGATGAGCGTTCGTGACTCTCCAGTTCAAACTCGTTCATCAAAATAAACGAATCTCTTTTCGAGTCATGACTCGAAGGGTCCTAGATAAGACCCTTATTCATCGTCTGAAATCGTTTAAAGCCCTTTGAAGCTGCGCTGAAACTCTCATTTGGACCTTGAACCATTTGGTTCCCATTGAAGTCCATTATATGGAGAAAATCCTGGAATGTTTTCATCAAAAACCTTAATTTCTTTTCGAGTGAAGAAAGAAAGACATGGACATCTTGGATGACATGGGGGTGAGTAAATTATCAGCAAAAGCTTTTTTTAAAAGTGAAACTGACTCGAGAAATGTTTTTGGTTGTTAGAAGACTGGAAATTCAGCATGTTTCCTGAAGATGCGTTTCAAGGGATTCAAACACAGAAGCTACTACTGCTATTAAAGACAAAGTGGTTCATAAAAGATACATTTTTGTAACTTTTTAATAATCTAAAGAACCGTTTTTCTACTATAAAGAACCTTTTGCACAGTGGAAATGGATTCATCGAGAAACCATCAATGCCAGAACCTATATTCTTAAAGAGATAGTCCACCCAAAAATGAAAATTCGGTCATCATTTACTCACTCTCAAGTTGTTGCAAACCTGTATGAGTTTCTTTCTTCTGATGAACACAAAGGAAGATATTTTGAAGAACGATTAGCACCATAGAGTGCCGAAGTGATGACGTCACTTTGTAGGACAACTCGGAAGCTAGCGGCGCATGGGTTCCCTCGATCGAAAAGCAATGCATTTCCCCACAGACTTTAGGAAAATCGCAAAAAAATAAGATCTGTGTTTAACAAAGAGTTGTTTTGTCTATCAAGATAATCTTTACAAGTTAATCCAAAATTTATACATTTTGAAGCCAATATAAAGTTTTTACAAAACACAAGCAGACAATAAAGTTTAAAAAACCACAAGCAGGTTATAACTGTGTGTTTTATGTCATAGATCAAAACGTGAAAATATGTAGAGGCTTTGTTCACCACAGACCTTATTTCAGGCGATTTAGCAAAAACCAGTGCAGTCTCACCCCAAAAAGTCATATAACTGACGTTTTGGGACGTCTTTTGACCATACGTCAATATTCGCCTTTTTAGGGCCTCCTTAAACGTCGATAGATGAGGTTATGGGATCCTAACTCTACCCCAGACCTAAACCTAACCCTAAAAAGGGTACCCTAATCAGTTATATGACTTTTTGGGATGAGAATGTGTTGCAAAAACCCATTCAAAAATCCCATAGACTTTAGAGCGAGGGAACCGGGAGTCCTAAAATGCTAACTCACTTCCGCATTTTGGCCTACAGAGTGACTTCGGCACTCCATAGTATTTTTTTTTAATTTTTTTTTTAATTTTTTTCCAAACAACTGTTTGGTTCCAATCGTTCTTCAAAATATCTTCCTTTGTGTTCATCAGAAGAAAGAAACTCACACAGGTTTGCTGAGTAAATGATGACAGATTTGTCATTTTTGGGTGTAGTATCCCTTTAAGAAGTGGCTGGAGTATGGATCACTGTAGAGCAAATTTGCTGCACTCTTTCAGCATTTTTCCCAACAGTCAGCCCTTTCCAATAGCACATTGCTGCTATATTGGTTTGATTGTGTTTTTTACTCACCTGCACATGACCTCATGAGTTAGCAGAACACGACACATTTCTGGATTCTTGTTCTGTCCTTCATATGAGATGGGCTGAACCATGTAAAACAGAGTTTAAAAGAGGTCATCAACACACACAGCAAAACTAAGAACTATGTTTCTAAAACAAAGAAGCTGGTGCTTTACCTGTTTAGTGACCGAATCAATGAGACGTGCATAAAGGTCTTGTTCTGTGCGAACACCTGTGAACAAAAACAACAAACCGGTCTTGTTGATGTCACAAATTTGGATCAAATCGTACGAGAGACTTTATTACAATCAGTCGTTTCTTATATAATATATAATGTCCATGTATAATATAATCACATGCTGATGGCTTTCTTTTATTTCCATGGACATAAAGGTCTATATGAGAAGAGAAATGATGAGCATACCATTACTATAGAGAAGCTGGAGTTTGTAGTGAGTCCCATTGTTGGTCTTTTCTCCCGTCTGCTCCTTAGAAGAACAGCAGGCAAAGGCAAGGGGAGGACAAAGAATTTTGATTAAGCCACACAAAATGAACATTTAAATATGGGAGTTCATGATTGAGTATTGTCTACATGACAATATATATTTTTAATTATCACAAACAAGTGGTATATTTCCAAAACTCAAATGGTAGAGACTGCTAAATTACTGTTAACTGTATACATTCAGTCATTGGGTATACAATGAAAACATTTACTACTGGTTGCAAACTTATTTGTAAAGCTCATGGCTGCATCATATATTTATTACAACTTTTGATGAAGAGATGCAATTACAAACGTTACAGATTTTATATAAAGTATAATGCAAGTGCCTTTTCTAATGTGACAACTAAAGAAACACTGTAATATGTATCTTGCATTGTTGCACTGCATTAGCTGTTAAAACTAAATTAAAAGAAGATCTGTGCTCTCATTATGTTAAAATATTACATTGTGAAACAATTATTACTTGGAAAGAAACTATGTAGGCTAAATGAAAGCATGAGATTATGTTTCGAGATTGTGTTTTGCAAGTGAGATCAGTTTGAGTTTTAAAATTACCACTTGTGAAAATAATGCTAAAGCAAGAAAAAAAAAACTGAAATAGGTACTCATTTTTTGAGTTTGAGAGCCTGCTGCATTAGGCTGTCTTGCCTAACAAGGATGAATGAAAAATAAGGAAAACGGAAGGAAGATTTGTAAGTAGGAGTTGATGTTGTAAAATAAGTGTCAGTCTTCTCTAGTTTTTCTGTATTTTTAAATATTCCATCCTGTGTGTTTTATAAGGTTTTGTTTTCTCTCTTGAAGCTCAAGCTTTAAAGGGTTAGTTCACCCAAAAATGAAAATTAAGTCATTAATTACTCACCCCCATGCTGTACCAACCCCGTAAGACCTTCGTTCATCTTCGGGGCACAAATAAAGATATTTTTGATTGAATCTGAGGGCTGGATCACTTTTCCATAGACAGCCTGAGGGACTGCCTCTTGACGGCCTAGAAAGTCGTTAAAATAAAAGGTTTAAATATGCCATGTGCCTACAGCGGCTCAACTATAACTTTATCAAGCGACGAGACTACTTTTTGTGCGAAAAAAAAACGTAAATAACGACTTTATTCGACTTTCCATTACTTCCTTATGGGCGCATGCGCGAGAACTGAGACGAGACCGTTCTTCTTCGACTACTTTTTGTTACCGGCTGCTCACCGCTTAGGAGTTTTACCGCCCCCTACCGTATAAGATGACGTACTGCTTGTAAACAGAACGTTTTGCGCCTCCGGCTATATCAGTACGTCATCTTATACGGTAGGGGGCGGTAAAACTCCTAAGCGGTGAGCAGCCGGTAACAAAAAGTAGTCGAAGAAGAACGGTCTCGTCTCAGTTCTCGCGCATGCGCCCATAAGGAAGTAATGGAAAGTCGAATAAAGTCGTTATTTACGTTTTTTTTTTCGCACAAAAAGTAGTCTCGTCGCTTGATAAAGTTATAGTTGAGCCGCTGTAGGCACATGGCATATTTAAACCTTTTATTTTAACGACTTTCTAGGCCGTCAAGAGGCAGTCCCTCAGGCTGTCTATGGAAAAGTGATCCAGCCCTCAGATTCAATCAAAAATATCTTTATTTGTGTTCCGAAGATGAACGAAGGTCTTACGGGGTTGGTACAGCATGGGGGTGAGTAATTAATGACTTAATTTTCATTTTTGGGTGAACTAACCCTTTAACTCTACATCATCAAAAATCCAGAAATGTTCAGTCATGTGAAACAATGTTTTAGAATATACCTTGTCCTGCTCCACAAAGTCCACAAATGCAGTCCTCTCCACTTCCACAGGCTGCCCACTGCGATCATAGAGTGCCAGAACAAAATGGAAGAAGTTGGACTTTCTGAGATTGGAGGGAGGCTGTTTTTCAAAGTGAGCACGGGATACGGCCACTCCACTGTGGATGTAGGGTTTCGGAGAGTAAAAAAAAACTGTTTATTTCATCATTTTTTTTCTTCACAATTCATATAACTGACTATTTACTGATATAATACCACATTCAACATAAGCTCAGTACAACTCATAATGTCCCGGACAAAATCAAAAATTACTACATTTCACTGATTCCACCTATTAAAAATGTCTGCTTGTGTCAGAATCTTTATAACATATTCCGAACACTGTTGTCAGGATTAAAAAAAAGTGTTATAAAAGCCTAATTTCTAAAATGTTTGTTTCTTTTTTCTTCATGTGTGTTTGCAGCAATATCAGATATATCAAAAGTCACAGTGTGTACTTAATGAACAACCCAAATGTACCCATTTTTAGGCTACTTGTATTATTATGATTGTTTTAATAATGTACCATTTGAAGATTTAACTTATGCACACAGACTTCTCTCCACTAAAAAAAAGCTGGGTTATTTTAACTCAATTTTGGGTCAAATATAGGCAAACTCAGACATTGGGTTAAAAATGTAATAAAAAAAGGTAACCCAATGGGAGGGTTTGTTCATATTTGACCCAAATTTGAGTTAAAACAACTCAAAAAGCATTTCTTAGAGTAATTTAGGTCAAATAAAAAGCGCAATATACCCTACAAAGTAAAGAAAGCAAAAAGCTTACTTTACCACAAAATTATTTCGATAGACCTGACAACAGCTGTCTGCATTTCAAGAAGCAGACTTGATGTTTTGGGGGAAACACATTAGTACATTTAGCTCTTGAATGAAATCAGATCAAAACATACAGAGGCGATCAGTAGATTTGTGTGTTTTCGTTAATAGGCTATCGATTATTAGCCTAATTGGAGTTACCACTGCATCCGATTTTTAATTGTTTGATTTTGAATTCGTAAAATTATTAAATTTGTGCTTATCAAAGTTCGACAAGTCGTTCAAAAATACTGGATTAAACATAGCCTTTTCTTAAACAATATATACTCTTCAAATGCGCAAGAAATGAAAAGCAAACAAGAACGTCACAAACAATCGCCGTTCAAGTGACGTGCTCGAGCATCTTCAAGTCTACAACACAATAGGGTTTCATTGTATCTTGTTTGCCTCTTTCATTCGGCTCGTGACTCTGTCACCTCAAACACAACAGCACTAAAGACTGAGCTCTGGCGCTATTAATCTCCGCGGTGTCATTTTACATGCACAAAACAGCCCGACCTGTTTCTGTAGATTATTTTAGTTAGCCTATAGAAAACAAAAGTTAACTGATAGTTCGTGGTTGACGTCTACTAATACTAACCTATTACTACTAACAATAATAGCTACACTACACTCTAAAAAATGCTGGGTTGTTTCAACCCAAATTTGGGTCAAATATGGACAAACCCAAAAGTTGGGTTAAAAATGTAATTAAAAAAATGTACCGTTGAAAGTGAAAGTTGGGTTAAAATTGTAAATGACATTTTAACCCAACATTTGGCTTTGTCCCTTTTTGACCTAAATATGGGTAGAAACAACCCAACATTTTTTAGAGCACAACAACCGCAAGTGAGGGAAAAACATTTTGACAACTCACGCAATTGTTTTTAGGCTAAATAGCTAGTTTAATCCTTTGAATCTTACATTTGTGCTCTGTTCTTTTGGAAATAGTTTAACGTGTAGTAGCCTATGCTAAATTCACTCTTTAGATGTTTAATGTTCTTTAGATGTTTTTGTAGGCTATGTAAAAGACTTGAACTGATAAAAATAGTTTAGTGTGCATCAATGCAGAATAAGCCTACCTCTGTGCCGCTATGTTTGAATCAATAACTCCGACATTCCGCACCCAAGAACGAACAGAATCCATTTCTTCTTCAAAAGTTGTCACTTTCAATTCGGTGATGGTTCTTGTCGAGTGATCTTGACTCCCAAACATTTACCACAAAATTGGAATGACAAGGTAACCCTCTTCTGCAAAACTGCAGAAGCACTTGCTTAGCTACAGCAAACAATAAAAATAATCGGAAGATTCTCCTGATGACTCAATTGAAGGATTTTTTTGGAACACCGAGATTCTCCGAGATTGCCCGTGATGTCCTCCGTGGGTCTTTTTTCTTTTTTGGAAACTTTATTTGTAGGTTTATCCTTTTTCGAGACCCATTCAAAGTCGTCCACTCGCTCACCTGTTCTACGAGAAGAACATTCACTTCCCAAACAATGTCTGCAGATGTGCTGCTACGGATAAACCCACTCAGGGTACGAGTTAAAACATCCACGAGATGCTCTGAAGAGGTACCGTGTTCAGCTCTGTACCCTGTAATTGGTGAGGATGAGGATGGGGATGGAGCCCGTTTAAAACCATAAGACTGTGATGATGCTGCGAGAGTCTGTTGGGACCTATTGTATGAATGGGTTGCAGAGCTCGAAAAAGAGGAGGGGCAAATCCGTAGGCTACTTGGAGAACTGAAAGGTCCCCCTTTTTGTGGCGTTTTTTGCAGTCTGACTTTATTCAAAGAACATTGCTTACCAAATTAAAAGTCATTTTTGGGGGGTCTGATTTCAGACTTCTTGCAGTTAATGACTTTGTTGAAAAGACATCGCATCTTTGGACAATTAAATATCAAGAAATTTCAGTTAATGTTTTTTTTCTCATGGATTTCAAGAATTACAGGTCTATAATTTATTAAACCGCCTTAGCATAGGCTATATGACTTTTTTATTTGTTTGGTGGTTATGATTATTTATTTATTTATTTATGCTATAGCCTATTTAAAATATGCAAGTCTCCTATAGTCTAAATGTATCGGTTACAAAGAAAAAACGAATCGCAAATGAGTTTGAACGACTGACATCTGCGGATAGAAAGCAGCAGACGGGCAAAACAATGAGATTTCTCGAAACTTTTTTTAGACCATTTCCTCTGTGTAAGAAGAAGCTTTTCCATCTTTTCTTGCTACTGGATAGGGTTATTGTCTGTGCGTGGGGCTCAAATAACTAAACAATGAATGTGAGCCCCCCCAACACCAAACACACACACACACACACACCACCACCACCACCCGGCTTATATCAACCATCTGCCAGCACGCCTCGAGTCAGCTGTTCAGCCTATTATGTGACCTGTTGCGGAATCCACGCGCACTCTGCAATATAGCCCACTCACCGTTTCCTAAATCACCAGCCACACCACTTGTATTTCATATGTTAGCCTATATCAAATTTTACAGTTGTTTGTTTTGGAATCGATAATAAATATTTAGCAACTCTTTTCTTTGAAACAAAAAACAAAAACAGGCCTCACTATAGCAGATGTTTTACGCGTGAATGTGATTAACCACCCCAATCGTAATTTCGGACGAATAAGCTATAGGCTAGGCTTACGATGTGATTAGTATGAAAATGTAAGATTTGTATGTAAAAAGTAGGCTATATGAATCTCTATCCCTAGCTACACCAAGATTACCCCTCAGCAGAACGTCCATACGAAACAAACGAAATGAAAATTAATTTGTAACAGATTAAAATTTGCGTGAGTACGCGCATAGGCTATATATTCCGCCGAATCAGCAGCAAGGCAACTCCGTTCATTTACTGGCCTACATTAAAACACATTATCATATCAAGAAAAAATGTTGGGCCATGCCTAGGTGAATTTCATTCTAAAAAGACGTGATTTAGACACAATCCTTCATTTCCACATTGGTTATTTTATCATTAGATAGGCTACTAATCCTACTTTATCATTATAAAGCCAATTTTACACGACTCAAATGTTCTGCCAGCAGGTGTTTAGCTGAGCATTGACGCAAGAATAGCAACATTCTTAGGCTAATATTTTACGGAACTTGGTTTAAGACCAATACAAACTTTTTGTTTAATAAAGGTCTTATCAATGTGATCAGTGAGACATTTTCTGAGAAGAACATGTATTTGAAGACGAGAATAATGCGCAACCAATCAAGATACCCTTCTAAAACATTTCAACGTGTCTATTCTTGTGCAATAATAATGTAGTAATAATAAGTTAGTAGGCCAGGCTATTCATATTTTTTATGGTTTTAGTGTCCCATCGTTGGCTGTCAAATGCTCGAGACGTCACTGAAATAAACTGATCTCTTCGATTTAAGATATTTTTGTGCTTGAGCCAGTCTATAAGGGGGTACAATTTGTTAACAAATGTCATGTCATGAGATGAACAAAAATAGACCGACTATTGTCATTTAATATACCAAAATTTTGTACGGCAGCTGCAAAATTCAGTTATTACCCATTCGGAAATGTTTTTTTCTTGATTAATGAGGCGATGTAGCTATAGCTAGGTGATTATTTATTAACCAATTTAAGAACGATCAAATATTCAGACAGAATCCACTTTTCGTGTTCATTTTTCCGGGCCGAGATTCTCCGAAATAGGTCGTGATATAGGCCTACCGATAAGTTAATTGAAAGTCGCATCCTACTTGTAGGCCTACATTATGCCTCATAGTCCTAAATTACATAATAATACATCTAGTTCCCTAGTGTGGAAAAGAATAGCCTATAGGCTATTTGATGCTGAAGGAGAAAAAAAATATGGGTAAAAACGAGCGGGCAGTTCTCCCCTGCATTACTAGCTAGCCTATGCTACCCGATCACACTAAATGCGTCCCTGGGCCTATAATGTAAATATTTAGTTATACAGTAGCCAATTGGTTTACTTTAAGACTAACGAGTAGCCTAAGTGTCTGGAAGCAGTTCAGACTGTGTTAGGTCAAACAGCCTACATCCTTGAAATGTCCCGCGCCAAGAATGGCACAGATCGTGATCTGAAGATGGAAAAATCAGGCTGGGCCTATAGGCTATCTAACTGCTCTCAAGAAATCCGAAATTTAAAGCAACTGTACAGTTTTTTAATTGGACTTTAATCTCCCATATGGGATAATGCATTGAGACATGCACCGGCCCGAGTCATTCTCCTACGAAATCCATTTTTTTTACAATTTTGTTTTGTTTGTATCTTTTTTATGAAGCCTTGAACTTATATGAGACAATAGATAAGACTCGCAACAGTAGGCTAGGCCTAAGGGAAAAGTGCCAGTCAGAACTGAAAATTGAACAACCACAGGCTCCTCTCCCTCCTTCATACGAGTCTGTCTCCTCCAGAAGCCTGCGACCGGTGTGTGAGCGGCGCCTCGTGGTGCAATCACACAGAGGCACTTTCAGAATGTCTTCGTTCACTGTTTCTTGGTGATGGAATGATCTTCCAAACCCTATCCGGACTTCCGAATCTGACTTAAAGAAGCCTATTAAAGAAGCAACAAACTCCTCTCATCCGTGAGCACTTAACTGCACGGTGCACCCGCTCCTCCAAAAAACTTTAACTTGACCCCAAGTTTCCAACATCGTCTGGACTTTGTCTTAGTGCATAAGACGAATCGATGTTGCTTCTCATTTGAAAGCTTTGGATAAAAACTATGGATGTTGAAGAAATAACTATTTTAATAAAAAATAACTATTTTTAAAGGATAGCCTATGCTTTCACTTATTTATTCGTTTTCGTTGGGTTTATTTAATTTATTTTAATTTCTATCAAATGTTGTCATGCCAGTCCTAAGGAAAAAAACGTGCACCAAATTTCAGGTAAGGAGAGAGGGATGCTTCATAGGCCACTATTATCTTCGCTTTCACCCTAAACCCTTTACATTTATCAATAGGAGACGAATAACTACAACAACAACAAAAAAAAAAAAAAATACATGAAAGCTAAAAGTCATGCATAAAGTAGCCTATAGAGAACTGTTTGCAAGCTTTCGCTGACTGCGCCTAATGCCAAACCTTGTTTTCTGAAACTATCAGCCCGGTCTCATCCCAAGGCGTCAATGCGTATACATCCATGGCATCCTAGCGTCAATATGAGACGCAGATTATATAGGCCAGAAGGCGCCTCCTAGTGGTGTAACCCTATACCCCCAAGTCCTAGGCTATAGAAACCTACCCATAACCGAAGCGTGTTATATTGACGCCAAAGGGTGCCATGTGCGTTGAATGTATACTCATTGTCAAAACAAGCGTCAGTATATGACGCCTTATAGGGGGCATTTAAAAGAAACCCTCGAAACCAGTTTTCAAATTTCCAACCCTATATCAGCAGTACACATTTTTGAACCCTACCTAATCGAAAATACTGATTCAACTCACCAGCTTGATATAGTAAACCCAGATGAGTCTGATAAAGGAGACATCCAAAATGTTGTCGTGTCTCCAGTTGAAACCCATCATATTCAAAAAGAATGTTTATTCAGGGAACCTTAACCAAAGTTTGGAGAATATTCCCTGTCCACTGCTTTGATGGCCATGATCTTTATGTTGACTCTCTGCACTGATATATAAACGGTGCATGGCCTCTTCTGCTGCATTGGACCCTGTGTTACACTCCTGCACAATCTAAAACACAAGTTAAATGTCTACCGAAAGGTCCCGAAATAACTGCACAGTTGTAAGAACAGATGAATAACTGCATACCACACACAATGTCATTCTTTGGAAAAGAGCAGTTTGCTGTGCCTCTCCAGCCACATTAGTTTCCCTTCTGCAGCTTGTTAAAATGGGCAACAGACGTTGTGCCCTTTTGAGACTGCTGTTTGAGATTGTCACGCCCACTGACTATGGTCTATTAGGGAAAAAAGTTGACCCTTACAAGGCTATACCTTTTGTATAATGAAAAGAAATGGCATGCATCACGTCTTGCACCAGTACCAGATCATTTCCAGATAATGGATTGACCGCTAATGGGAACCTCACATTTCATTTCCTAGCAATTCTGTTTGGCTAATATGTTCACTAGCCACAGGAACTGACGTGGAGTTTTACAGCACACACACATAAAGATTCAAGTATAATGTTTATATTGCGACCATTGAGTGTTTTCTCGCATTTATTTACTATTCCGTTTAGTGTATTATTTACATGTGAAATTGTTTATTCGTAAGAAATGTGATGCTCATAATTTCTATTTCATGCACAGTTTTCGACTACAGAAACAATTCATTTAATAGGGGAACATGTGATGTCCTTACATTAATTTGCCACTAGATGGAACTCTTGTGTTTTTTTAGTTCTGTTTTTTTTAACTCTTGTGAACTTTATTTAGTTCTGGACACTCATTACATTATAAAAAAATAGGATTCATAGTGTTTCTTGTCTACATAATATTCTACAAAATAAATTAGTCGTAGGCCTATACCAAAATGTTATTCGCATTCAAAATAGGTCCGGATAGACTTCAGCCTAATCGCAATACTTAATTGAATGGCAAATTTTACATGTATCTTATAGTAAATTTTTCCTTAAGGCTCAAATGATGGAATTTCCAATTGGCACTTTTCTAATAAACTGTTTCTACTATCTGCCTTTATTTATTTTTGTTTCTTCCATTTTCAATAATATGTGTATATGTTACTGCATGCACTGTAAAAAATGCTGGGTTGTTTTAACCCAATTTTGGGTCAAATATGGACAAACTCAGACATTGGGTTAAAAATGTAATTTAAAAATGTAACCCAATGGCTGGCTTTGTCCATATTTGACCCAAAATTGGGTTAAAACAATCCAACATTTTTCACTGGAAACTAACAAGAAATGTATCTATCCCTGCATCCTAATGTGCATCAGTCCATCCTAATTAGTAGTCTACATGAGATTAGAACAAGAATATCATGGTGTGTTAAAAAGAATATGCCAAAAGTCCCCTTGATGGTCTACTCTTTCTGGTAGGTTGCCAAAAATATGGATCTGTGCACATACCAACAGTTGGTATTGCCCACAACAAACCATTGTACTTTGGAGAAGGAATCAGTTCAGAACTACAAATGTGAATACAAAGATGGCGGATGTCTGAAACCATCCCTACACCCTCAAATAGGGCAGTATTTGAGAGGACAGCCTTTTGTAGTGGTGTCCAAAACCATAGTGGACATTATAGAGTGCACTCATTCTATCCCACAGCCAATGTGGATGACAACCAATGTCATCAACAACTTCAGGGGCTTCACATCTCCGGATGCAGTCGATATAATGGAAAATGATGATGACTGTCCACCAAAGAGACTTGAAAAGCAGGCCGCACCAACATGTCTTGGCATGGGGTTGAAGTGGACCAGTACCATCCCTTGGACTGGCTCCCGGTGTGGATGGCCAGATAATGGATGATGCAGGAGTAAACATCACCCCCCACAATGAAGAATCCTTGAGGAGGATACAGCTATATCCTGCTGTTTTTCAGGATTTTTGTATCATGGAGTGAACCTGGGTATCCCACAAAAAAGTTAAGGAATCTGCCCTTCCCATCACATACTGCCTGGAGAAAGGTAGTGCTTCCTATTGATGAGGTCAATATGAAGCTCTACGTAGCCAACGTTGTTCGGAGTAGTATGTCATCCAAGAAGTCCACGTCTTTCTTTCTTCAGTCGAAAAGAAATTAAGGTTTTTGATGAAAACATTCCAGGATTTGTCTCCATATAATGCACTTTACTGGATACCAGGTCCCAGTTCAATGTCCAAAAAGAATGTTTCAGTGCAAACTGCAAAATATTCAAAGGGCTTTAAACGATTACAGACGATGAATAAGGGTCTTATCATGCGAAATGATTGCTCATTTAAAAAATAAATAACAAAGTTTAAGTTTTATAAGCTCAAATGCTCGCCTTGTGCTGACCTGTGTGATTCTCCTGTTCGTCCTCGTTCATCCAAATGAACAAATTCCTCTTTTTTCGAGTCAATTCGTTAATTTCGTTTGTTGAATGAACCAAATGACTCAAAAAAAGATTCGTTCATTTTGATGAACCATGAACGAGTTCGAACAGGAGAGTCACGAATGTACATCACAGAACAGAGCAAAGCCTTTCTTTGTTATTTTGCTGTGAATTTTTAAACAAACATGTACCAGCAATACTGTAATCATTTGCAGCCGATTCGTTCAAGAAAGCTGAATCGTTCAAGAGCAAAATACCAGTCTGTGTTGAAGACGGAACTGTTCTGCTTTTCTGAACTTTAGTTGGCGAATTTAACAATGCTGTGTCTAAAACTACTGCTTATTGAACTGTTCAGCGAATAATTTCGCTTTACTATATCATGTTATAAACACAAAAACAACAACTCATGGGCTATTGTAAAGTCATTTCAGTGGCGTTTCCAACCGTACACGACGCTATTTTACGCCAACACACCAGACTAACATTAGCTTTCTTGTTGTTAAGTTTAATGGAGGTGTGTTGCTTGATGCTGGTTTCACTTCACGGCAGTGACAGTGCGAAGTTTAGGGCAAACACGATGGTTACCTGGCTGTCTGTCACCGATGAAGGCAGGTCAGTCAGGGAGATGTAGATGCTCTGTTGTTGTTGTTGTTTATTTGACGAGGCATGTGGATGAGGGGAACGGCTCGGTCGGTCTTGCAGAATCATTCTGAACTTTAATGCAGTTGTCGGGCACATGCTTAAAGTTAGTCTACCCTCTAGAGGATAAAAGACAAAACGGCATGCATTTAGCGTAATTGCTTTGGTTGTGATTCGGCTCACAAGCCACCACTAGTCTTAAAGGGATAGTTCACTTTGAAATTGATTTTGGTATGTTTTAGCTTACCTCAAGGGCATCCAAGATGTAGGTGTCTTTGTTTCCACAGGAGTTTCAATTTTGATATTTTTAGGTCAATTTCTTGTCTGTCAGTCATATAATGGAGGTCTATGGTCACCACCTCAAAGAGCATGCACAGAGAAGTCCAAATTAATCATAATTCAATGATTCATACCAAAAATTTATTTCAAAGTGAACTATCCCTTTAAGAGATACAACCATTTTAGATGGAAAGGATCTCAAGCTGACTATAGATGAATAAGTTAGGCCAGTGTTTCCCAACCCTGTTCCTCGCGGCACACCAACACTGCGTGTTTTCTTTGTCTCCCTAATCAAACACACCCGATTCAACCCATTAGCTCATTAACCCACCTGATTATGAGCTGATGGGTTGAGTCAGGTGTGTTTGATAAGGGAGACAAAGAAAACACGCAGTGTTGGTGTGCCGCGAGGAACAGGGTTGGGAAACACTGAGTTAGGCTACTGACCCACGTGGCATTTCCTTGAAATAAATTCCATCACAGGCAGCGCTACAACAACCATGAAATGACCCTTCACAATTAAGTTTATATGTTCAATAAAATACCTTACTCACATCTCCACCTCACACTTACAACATTTTGTTTACATAGTTATACTCAATATCAATAATAATTATTTTTTTATATGCATTCAGCTTAAAAGTTGGCTCTACTGCCATCTTGTGCTGAATGAAAGAATGATCTGGAGGCTCAAAAAGGAAAATGAAAAGGAATTAAACCGGATCACCTAACATTGTGTACCGATCAACCTGTCTATGATTATTATTATATTTCCTGTTTTGCTTCTAACAAAATAAGCACATATCCCTTCAATATCTTCCTTTGGATTAAAGGATGTAGCTGCATCAGGAACACACATGCAAGCTGACACACAAAACAGAATACGACTGTAGATTTGACACTAGGATTATGAGAATTTATTATATTTTCTTTGAAGATTATTTTGTGTGGAGATGATTATGATACATAGAGATCAGTGTCCAGTTATCCCTGTTATTTTCTCCATAATTACTTCGACAGTAATATACTGTTTGGATCTTCAAATCCAAATGTAATCTAAGACCCATAAGCTGATAAAACATGAGCCCTGGGGGGTTTTAATTTTTTTTTTTATTGTGATCTACATTTATTGTTTTTAATTTTGTTTTTTGTTTTTTACATTTGTTGGTTTTGTTTTTGTTCTGGTGAGGTGGAAATTTGATTTCATTTCTGTTTTTTGTTATTGCAACACATTGCATTTCACATGTGGTCGTCATATTTAAGATTATATAAAACCACAATACCTTTGATGTTATGAATAAAAGATTGGTCGAAATTGATTTGCGCATTATAATGCAACAATAATATATGTTACAAGCAAACAAATGAGATGTTACTTGTTTTTATGGCAAAGATATGCGAATGTAAATAAATATACAAGCGATTTATTTACATAAATAATAATACACACAATGTGAGCATATTTACAAAGAGAATACAGAGGGACGTTTTTCAATCACAACCCACAGAAACACAATAAAAACATTATTTACATTTGTAAAACATTTGTATGAATTAATACAGGGAAACAGCTGGTCAGCTCAAAGCATTTTATAACGCATGCAGGCTTTCTTCTCTTCTTTTGCTGACTGTATCGCAACAATAAAAGCGTTTTCGATGTTGGACAGTCCTCGCTCTTCACATTTGCAGTTGTGCTAAATAGCAACAACAACAACAACAACAACAAAAAAGAAGGAGGATGAGGAGAAAGCATGTTCCATTTGCACATATCACTGTAAACATAAGTAGCACATTTGAGACAAATACAAGTTCACCATCATGTAACAATAAATCAAATATTCTCTTTAGCAGTCTTCCAGATTGGTGACTGCGGCCGCTTTATATATGAGGTCAGAAATATCTCCCAGTGAGGTCTGAGGATAGTGTGTCAAAGCCTGTCTCTGAAGTGCTCCCTCTAAACTGGTTTGATGTGTGGGAATCACTTGGTCCACAGACATGGAGGGATACGTGGCCTGATTGGCGGGACAGTATGGTTTCAGCTGGTGTCCAGAGAACCCTTCAGGGTGAGCTGTGAAGCAGTGGTTCTGCCAGAGACCGTTCGACTGGTTTTGGAACGGATACTGAGCCAATCTGTCTGATGGACAATTGGAGAAGGTTGTTTCTGAGTGTGTATTCCCCCAGTGTGGGAATCCAGGCAGATCTGGGGAGATAGAGGGATGGGGTGGCGTTGGGTGCGGGAGATTTTGAGACCAGGGACTCAGAGCTTGTCTAAGGCTTTGCTGATGGTGACCTCCGTTGACCACTCTTTGTTCTTGGACGCCAGAATTCAGTTCTGGGTTTAAATCAAGACTGGTTGCTTGAAAGGTCGTGACAGGTATACATCCAGAGCTCATTTCCCCACCTAGACTCCTCCTTACTGGTGTGGTCAGCTTCTTGCTTTTCATACTGCGAGCCCGTCTGTTCTGGAACCACACCTGGAAATAGATATTAAAATGTCAAATCAAGACGCTGAAATCAAAATAACATCATAATATGACTATTCATCGTCCACTACACTTACCTGAATTTTGCTCTCTGGAAGCAGTGTGAGCGCAGCCAGTCTCTCGCGCAGAGTGATGTCTGGATACGGCGTAATCATGAACGCGCGCTCCAATTCTGACAATTGCGCGCGGCTGAAAATCGTCCTCTTTCTTTTCCTCTGCCCATCAGCGCTGTAAGCTCTTTCGAGTTCAGGAGATGACAGCGTATGCTTGGTTGTTACATCTAAAAATCAAAAGTCACTTGTTTAGTAAAGTGGCTAAGAATCTTGATTCATTCTCAAAGGAAAGTGCCCCCTTTCTGGGTTTCATAACGAAAGAACCATTTTAATAATCCAAATAACCTGTCTAATTGAAAAGTTCAATGGATGTTAGATTCTTCATGGAACCATCAATGGAAATAAATAATCGACGAGGTTTTTTTTAGAGGAAATGTTTTTATAAACAACGGTCTTTCTATTTAAAATATAGCGAAAATAACACAAAAGAAAGAATAAGAACAATGATTATTCAATTTCTCAAAGTAGTCTCTAACAATCCAAGGTTAGACTTTATTTTAAGATGTCTTGTGACCGTAACTATATATTTAAGTAATATTAATTAACAACATAGGGTTTGGTTGCACTGTAAAAATTAAAACTGTTGTCAAATCAACTTAAATAATTAATGTGGTTCAGATAACATATATTTTGAGTTTCTGATGATTAAATCAATCTCCTTCATTGTATTAACTCAATTTTTTCCATTTCAATGAACTTTTAAGGCAACCAGGTTACTTAATTTTTTTAAGTTAAACCAACAATATTTTTTTTTACAGTTGCATGTAATTACGCAGAACTGACTGGTAAAAAAAAAACGTAAATATGCAAATTAACTAAACTAAACAATAAAGTTAACAAAACTTGATATTTTAAGTAAAATACGTTCATTTTTAAATTAAAACAGCACATTCTATATTTTAATGTTGAATTTTAAGTTGTGATAAATCTTCACTGTAAAAAAATATTTTCAAGATTTGTCATCACAACATTTTTTCTTTTGTCAAATCAACTTAAATAATTCATTTAGTTCAGATAACATATTATTTTGAGTTTTTGATGATTAAATCAATCTCCTTCATTATCTTAACTCACTTTTTCCATTTGAATCAACTTAAAATTTTAAGGCAACCAGGTTACTTTTTTTTTTAAGTTAAGTTTTTAAGTTTTTTTTTTTTACAGTTTTTATAAATATACATGTAACATATATAGCTATGTAACAAGGACACTTTAGAATAATGTGTGTAAACCAACAAAAGTAACATGCTCACCTGTAAACTGGACCATGCTTGTGTTGAAAATAAAATCTCTTTCTGTGTCCACGGCTATTTTTTTAACCAAATCGAACGATTGGTCAAAAAACAATGCCATAGTCCAGTTTGCACTGTAAAAGTTCAGTTCTCGGTCTGAGGTTCCAGTCCTGCTCGCGTCCGAAGACGAAATGTGTCCGAGCGCATTTGAACCCACCTCCTTTATACTCGCTGCTTTTCACACCCACACACTCCTATCGCCCTCGAGGTGTCGTCGCAGGAACAGCGACAGTCGGAATCAGAGGAGATACAAACGCTTTCAACTTTGATCCCCCCACCCCACCCCACAGGTAATCCCATAGCATGTCTGGCAACTTCGTGGCCATCTCCTGTCCTGCACTGCCGTGTCGACAGGAAAGCAGAGATCCCGCTTCTGTCTGGTGTCTGTCAGATCCTTTATCAGGCAAATAACCACAAAACACGCTCTCCTCAAAGGCTCAGATGTAGCCTGCAACATCTCTTTTTGTTTTCCCCACAGAAAATGTTGGATTTGGATCAAGATGTTTTAATGCAAATTTTCTACGAAATCATCAAGCCTAGACTATATTAAATAAAATGAACCTTAATCAATTAATATAAATTATTAGATAATAATATAGACAGAGGCTATAAATAAATTACTAGGCTATCAAATAAATAAATACTCAATAAAGAGACCAACCGATAAAGGAGGAATAAATAAAAGCGTTTTGAGAGTTTCATTCATCAAAAATTGTATTCATCAAATCAAAACTTATTTTTCAAAATGATCGAAAAATTGTAAAGGATTTGTCGCAGCAATCCGTGTGCAATACACAAAGTAAAAAAAAAAAAAAATCAAGTCAGCATTTAAACATCATGTTCCGTTATGCCTATAGGTAATAATTTTAGACCTATTCCCTGGATGCGTTTTTCTAATATCCAGGGACATATTATTATCTAAGGATGATATTACGGATTAAGAGCGGTGTACGACGAATGAACAGTAATCTAAACCCGAGATTACTTCAGTAATCTGTGCGTTTTTCAACTTTGTTGGCATGAGGCTCCATCACTTTCAGGTCAATATCATGACAACTTTCTTTTTTACCGTCTTACCAAATGCACACTTAGCCGAATATGTGCAACCTTTTAGGAAAAGATGACTTTGCGTCGTGTTGCGCTATTTAATAGGCTATAGATTTGTGAAAATGACTTTTTTTTTTACTGACCCGTTGTATTAGACATCATTTAGCTATCCCAATACATTGTGCTTAGAATACACATAAAGGCCATTCCAGGGCAGGCGCTTTGATATGAACGGTCTTGATAGCGACAAGTGGCTACATCAACTGCTAAAGAGATGAAACACAAACACTCCAGCCAAATCTTTCACCACTAACAGCATAATGGGGGGGAAATGTGTATTTTCCTGGTTTTGGCTGCAACGATGATAAATGCGCTTGGATTGCGCATTGCGCTTTTGTCAATTCAACTTAGAGAATTTATGTAGTTCAGATAACATAATATTTTATTTTTCCATTTCATTGAACTTAAAATTTTAAAGCAACAGGTTACTTATTTTTAAATTTAAACCAACAATATTTTTTTTACAGTGTAGGCCCTACGTGTTTAATTCATAAAAAATGAACCTCACCATATGCTAATTAATACAAAGTGATTCTTTGTTATGACACACAAACAAACAAACAAACAAACAAAAAACACTAATGAAATGCATCAGTGAATAATTAAAAAAAATTATGCAAAGTGGTTAATTTCAGTAGCCTACCTGATTGTTGTTGTTATTGTTTAATACGTCATATTAACTCGAGGCATTATCTCTCTTTTTCCCTATCCTAGTCTTTTATTTTTTAATTTAGCTTATGCTTAACAGAAAGCGAGGAAAACAATGTTGCGATTCATGAAAATAAATTTTTGCTTGACAAAGCCGTCACTTCAAAATGATAAACAAATTTCAGATCATATATAGTATCCTGACATCATGTAGCCTAAACATCACTTAAAATGAATTAATCCCATATCAAACCAAGTGACATCTGACATCAAATTACGCTGATCTAATTTTTCAGAATTATGTCATCAAATTAACAATAGAATATTACGTTCCAATGATATTTGATAATCATCTTAATTTGAAGCATTTTAACTTTTTGTGAAATGTTTTGCTTGAGAAGGGTTGTTTGTATAATCTTTCTTCTAAGTGGTAAACTATTTCTTTCAGTGCATGGCAAAAGATAAGGAGTATGAACAGAACTACTTATTATAACAATGCTTCTTATTTTTTGGCAAAATTGCAACACATATTATGTGCAGTCATCTTCACAAAATATTACTATCATGATCATTCACAGTTGAGAAAATGTACTTTGGAAATAATATCATTTGCAGTTTGCCTCACCAGTGACCACACGGGGTCGCTGTGGTTTTATTGACATGTCTATTTTCAACCCTAGTTATTATCATACAGTAGGTATGGTTATTATAGTCGTCGTAGTAGTCGTAGCCTATATTGTAAAAAAAAAATGCTTTAAGTACTACAGAACAAAACAGAGTTACATGTAGACCATTATAGCCATGGCATAGCCTACACAGGTTTTGAATGCGAAAATTATACCAAGCAGCTTACAAGAACAACATCAATACAATCAAAACAGACAGAGAAAACATTTAGGCTTTAGGCTATTATAGAGTAAACACAGAGTAATTTTGACATTTCAAAGATTTTTTTGTGACCATATACACGAACTGTCTATATTGTGTTGTAGCTAATAAAAAAGGAACAAAAATAGCATTTTCCCGATAGTTTTGAATATAACACACTTATAAATTGTGATTTTACATGGGTAACGTGTGTAAAGTATGAATGTAACAACTTCAACTTATTTTGTCGCTCAGACATGTGACGTCATCACGCCATATATCACGTCACTGACGTCTGGCGGGAGTTATAACTGCACGCACCCATACCTCGAGTTTTGCTCTTTTAAAGTTTATTTCGTTTAAATATTCATTTTATTTGCGGAAATGATTGGACAGAAAAGTATCAAGTCGTTCTTTTCGCCAGCTTCCAAAAAAAGAAATCTTACATGCTCAGGAGATGCAAAAGATGATGTGAGTAAAAACACACTTTATTTACTCTGGTCTGTTGCGGCTGGACTTGAAGCCATATGTCGACATGTTTCGCTTGAAATGTGTATGAAAGTGGTGGTGCTTTATTTATCTGTTGAGCATATTGTCATTCCCGCGAAATGTAGTTTACTCCGGAAGTAGTTTTACGTCCTAATAAATTATCTGAAAGATACTTATTATTTAATTCAACAATTAAATAATTGAATCAAATAATAATTGTATGTTTATTCAATATTTTGGTACTGTCAATCTGCTGCCCACACTCCAGTCCAGTGGTTGGCGGTAATGCACCTTTATAATACAGAAGAAGAAGTCACTTGGCTCGAAAATGTCAGTAGAAACAAAACCGCTTAACGTTACATGTCAATTGCACGTATTTTAGTTGCTTATAAATGAAAATCTCACGCATTCTGGTCGTGCCTGCAAACAATGTGGTGCGCTAAGTTAAATGTTTAATTTAAATGTCATTTGAGTCTTGGCATCAACTTAGAATGCCTTCATCTACGACATTATAAATAGACAATGTTTTCAAGTATAGCTTGTCTTCGTTTTTTGCTCGACCGTGCTGCCAAACGATCATGGAAGTCAACCAAATACATTAAAATATCGCCTCAGGGAAAAAAGCTGAAGTTGGAGGGCGATGACGTCACGCGCTCATCTTCATCGCTGAGTCCCGAGCAACTTGAACGGATCAACAAAAACAGAAAAGCGGCTCTGGAAAAGCTCTCTGAACACAAAAGTGCTCCGGACGGGATTGGAGAGAGCTGGAAGAAAGCTCTCAGTGCAGAATTCGAGAAGAACTACTTTAAATCAGTAAATAAAACATGAAAAATAATTTTCACTTTAACCCTTGATAAAAGAAGAGTAATACACAGCAGTGCTTCTCTTTCGCAGTTGATGTCTTTTGTTGCTGAGGAGAGGAAAAAACACACCATCTATCCACCTGCACATGAAGTCTTCTCCTGGACACGAACATGTGACATACAAGATGTGAGTTTTTTTTATTGTCATATTCGTACCCAGCAAGCAATACTCGTCATAGACCCGAGGAAGGGGAAGGTATTTAGATTAAAGATTACAATGACGCATTAATAATAATAATAAAAAAGATATGCCCTGATTTAATAATTTAGATAAACTTCTATGGTGGTGAATGGAAAGTATAAGAAATTAAAAGGGTCCAAAGGGGTTGCTTGAAATGGCATCATGCAGAACTAAAAACAAAACACTGTGTGGTATCTTTACAATGATATTTTTCTTGTGATTCTAGGTAAAAGTTGTGATACTTGGCCAGGACCCTTATCACGGGCCGAACCAGGCTCATGGGCTTTGCTTCAGCGTACAGAGACCTGTGCCACCTCCACCGAGGTATTGTCTGGCAGTCGTCATTACACTATCTGCAATACACATCATTTCAAAGCAGCTTTACAGATTACTATAATGTGATATGTATCAATTAGCAATTGATTTGTTTTTAACTATTTGTTTTAAACAAGTGATTCGATCACGTGATCATGTGACATGGCTTTGTCATAACCATTTCAACATTTTAATGGTTTACAGCTAGGGGGCAATTCCTGTGAGCAATAAACCAGTTTCTAAATGGTTTTACCTGATCTCTATAAATTTGTAGACCTTTTTTATGAAACTTCTGTATAATAAAAGTGTACATTGTAGTTAAAAATCCTCTTATTGGCCTGATTATCTAAGCTCTCCATAAAACAAACAAAACAACCCCTATAATTGAATTAAATAACACATTATACAGACACTTTTATATTTAATGATGTTAGATTGAATTATTCTCACCAAAGGGCCTGTTTACTCCTGGTCACTTCATGCGTTTTCTCAGATCGGATAGCTATCCGCTCGTGAAAAGACCCGGTAAATGCCCTCTAAACACATTCGAGACAGATTTAAATCTGATCACTCAAACCACTTTATGAGGTGATCTGAGACGCATACCAGACGAAACTGGATAAGTGTAAATGCATCTGGTGGGTGAAACCAAATATATATTTTACTTCTCCCAAAATGTAAAAAAAATAAATGAGTGTGTTATAGGCTATATGTAAAGTATCTCTTTAGCAAGCCAACGCAAATACAACTAAGTCAGTCGCAGACATTCAAAAAACACAATCATCTTCATTACAAGTAAAGAAACTAAATGATCGTACCAGTGCTGCTCTGCTTTGATTTCGAAATTAGCTGATGATCAATAAAACGCAGCTCATATCTGTTGCTTTCGTTGATGTGAACTCTGTTAAAGGGATACTCCACTTTTTTTGGAAATGGGCTCATTTTACCACTCTCGCAGAATTAAACAGTTGAGTTTCACCGTTTTCAAATCCATTCAGCCGATTTTCTGATATTTAGAAGAATATCAGTAACCAGACAACTTCCATAGTATATTTTTTGTCCTACTATGGAAGTCAATGAGACCAGAAACTGTCTGGTTACTGATATTCTTCTAAATATAAAAAAAAAAATTGGCTGAATACATTCGAAAACGGTAAAACCCAACTTTTTTATTCTGGGGGAGTGGTAAAATGAGCCTATTTCCAAAAAAAGTGGAGTATCCCTTTAAATCTTCATAAAGCACTGGAATTGAAGATCGGATTTATGTCGGATGTATTACGTTTTGAGGAGACATATTTATGTGGCCAAGTGTAAATGGCTTTCTATTTCAGATAAATGCTGTTCCTTTTAAAATTCTATTAATCAAAGAATCCTGGGAAAATATAGTACATAGTGTTTTCAACATTTTTTTGAGCATCAAATCAGCATATTAGAATGATTTCTGAAGAATCATGTGACACTGGAGACTGAAGTAATGATGCTGAAAATTCAGCTTTGATCACAGGAATAAATTATATTTTTTTGTATTCTTTAAAATCAAATAAATGCAGCCTTGGTGAGCATAAGAGGCTTTTAAATGGCAGTGTATGTTACTGTTCAGCTTCAATACTCAGCAAGGAATTCTTAGGCCGCTCTGCCATACATTCACATTTCATTGCAATTATACCTTTCTCTAAGGTCACAACTATGTCATTACTTCAGGTTGGATGATTCTGATTGGCTAAGAAATAGAGAAATCTTCCACACATGGGCTGATATGCAGGAGCATATCACAATGTATAAAAAGGCTGACGCCTGGACCCTAATTTGAGTCACGTTGTGACCTTCCAGGTCGCAGAACTGCGTTTCTAAAGTCAGTCAATCTCCCCAGGGTGCCAGATGTTTACCTCACCAATACAGGACCCCTGTGATAAAGAATACTAGCGCACACACACCGATACACAGCTTCTTCAAGGTTGGAGTTGGTCGAGCTCTTGCTCTAAATAGGGAACTTTCCCAAAACATCCTGATAGCTTGTTCTTTCTCTCAGTACAGACAGACAGTATTTATCATTATTCTCTAGAGATTGAAGAGAAAAAGTATAACAAATCCTTTAACATACGCATTAAGTAATTCAAATCGTTTAATATTTCGAAGTATAAATATTGATTATAAATCACTCATTAGATGTACACATTGGATGGCAGTGGATTCCAGAATCGGACCCTTCATAAGCGACCTCAAGGTTAAGAAAGGCAATCAAAAAATAATCAAACATAATGGGCTATATGCACGCATAAGTTCCGCATTTGACGCAAGGATGCTCGTCCATTTCCGGTTGTGTAGATTAAAGCGGAGGAAAACCGGAGAAAACGGGATTATGGCAGAGTCTTCAATATTTACTGTCCTCCCGTCTTTGAAACGAAACGTACATACGTTTAGATGTAATTTTATATATAGTTATGTTTATTTAATATAATTTTAAAAAGAAGCATAAACACAACGAGGGGTGTCTGTTTTATCTGTTTTTGTGACTAACGTTTCATTAGTATAACCATGGAGTATAAAATTCAATTTAAATTCTCGGTATTGCATTGGACTCTACGATCGGCGGAAGTTATCGAGCATCCTTAATCCTTCACCGGAAATAACGCCGTGCATAGAGCCCATTCCTTGGTTCTTAACTGTAAAAGACAATTTAACGAGACACTGTGCTAAATTATATCCTGACAGCTTATGTTTAATTTCAACCTCTGTTATTTTTATTATTATGAGGGCTGTGTATGGTTCTTTGTTTTGGATGCAATTATATTATGTCACTTTTGCTGTTCACAGCTTGGTGAACATATTCAAAGAACTGGCTTCAGACATCGAAGGCTTTGAGCAACCTGGTCATGGAGATCTTACAGGATGGGCAACGCAAGGTGTGTTTCCCCTGCTTTCTGCTTTTCATGGCATACACTTGAATGGTTCAGTACAGAAGTGATGACACCACAAGACATGTCAAGAGTAGGGCTGGATGATATTGGAAAATACTGACCAGGGCCTAAAGTTAATTTTTTCGGCCACCGGCCACTGTGGCAGGTGGATTTAAAAATTCACCTGCCACAGAGACTTTTTACCAGCCATTTTTTTTTTTTGCCTCATAAACGTAAAAAAAAAAAAAAAAAAAAAAAAAAACCCGGGAATTTCACAATATTGTTCTTTAACTTGTAAGAACACACATTTAAGTGCTGTCAAGTAATAATAACTCTAATAAAATACATTTAAAAAAAAATCTTTTTATTCATTGATTTTGACAGACACACACACACACACACACACAACATATATAGTATATACTCAACAGATAGACCTACCGCAGCTCGTAAACAAATCACACGCGGCTGTGTTGATGGCGGATTTAGTCACGTACAGGTCTTACTCTTAACAGCTTTTAGTTACAGCGTTCAGGAACGGTTAAATATCAACTAAATACTGTTATTACTGATAAAATTACCGGGTACCGGACATTTTCTCACCGGTTCCCAACTCCCAACATGCACAGTTGCACACGCACACACATCTGTGCAACTGTCATTGTACTGTAACCTACAACAGCGACGCATTACATTATCTCATCCCATCTCATCAACAGTTTAATACTCGCACACGTAGTCAGAAAAAGAGCCTCATCTTCTTTCTGATCGCATGAACGTTACGAAACAACAGTCGCTGTCATAAATCAGCCGCTCACGAACCTTGCCATTGCCGCCGATTGTTCACTTTGTATTAAAATGTCTTCTTTACTTTTCTTTTTCTCATCCTCATCTTTTTGTTGGCTGTTTGTTTTGTTTCAGCTGGCCTCTTTACCCCAGTAATGTGCCGCCACATTTTAGCTAAAGTCCACCGCAATAGCGGACTTCGTTGAAATGTAAAAATCCTAATGAATCACTCAATTCTCATTGGCTGCCTGCCAATGTGGCAGGTAGATTGACAGTGTTACCCGCCAATAGCAAAATTCACCCGCATTTGGCAGGTGGTCGGGTGTTAATTTCAGGCCCTGATACTGACATTGCGATATTTAGTTTTTCTGCTATATGTATATTGCGATATGAAAACAATTTCACCAGATGATTTAAATGGCTCTATTTGTACAGATACAGGCATAGATCAGCAATATTACACACTACAGAAAGGTGAAAAGTAAAGAAATGAGCAGAATGGGACCCCTTTATGCTGATTGCAAATATAAGCTAGCCATAGCCATATAAGCTAATTTCCTTGTACATGTAAATGTGTTTCTAAATGTCTGTTGTAGGAGTTCTGCTGCTGAATGCTGTGCTGACTGTGCGCGCGCACCAGGCCAACTCTCATAAAGACAAGGGCTGGGAGATTTTCACAGATGCTGTGGTACACTGGCTCAGCACTAACATGCAGGGTCTTGTTTTTATTCTCTGGGGCTCGTATGCTCAAAAGAAAGGGGCTGCCATTAACAAGGTATGTTGGAAACCTAGAACTTGATGTGTTTAATTCTTTCAGTTCATAACTGATGCCAGTAGATCTGATAAATATTACAGACAGTTGTACACTGTTTTCTGATTGTTGACTTGTAGAATCGACACCATGTTCTGCAAGCCGTCCACCCCTCGCCACTGTCTGCTCACCGTGGCTTCTTTGGATGTAAACATTTCTCAAAGACCAATGAACTGCTGAAGAAGTCAGGAAAGAAGCCCATAGACTGGAACGCTTTGTGAAGGTTTCCCCGTGTAAGTGGAATACTGTTTGTCCTGTTTTAAAAGTTACTTTATTTTTCATTTCCTGCTAAAATCAGTGTGTTGGTTCTAAATATTTGTTTCTTTTTTCCCCTTCTCGTAGAGTATGTATATAGTTTATTTTAATTACTTCATTATTGTTCATTTTCATCTACTTTTCTGCATTTATCCCTTTTATGTAGTCATGTAAAACACTAACAGTGGTGAATGTTTTCGTTTATGCCTGTTAATACAATAAACTATTTTTCTACTGAATGTTACGTGCACTTGCTTTGTCAGTCTAAATCTGTGTGTGTGTGGATAGACTATAGATTACTGTATATACAGGTGTTTCAAAACAAAACTTTGTGTAAAGATGATTCTTAGAACTGTGTTCTATAATATATTACGGAAAGAAATGATATACCATTTTACTTCATGCATCGTGTGGGTAAAATGGCCATAAATGGGTTTTCCCATTTAATACCATAGCATATTAATATGTTCTTGGGGAAACCTTCAGATCACTTGGACGTGACAGTGATTACAAGAGGTAAAAATGTTCGTTTTCTCACACAAACCGCTCGTTTCGTTTCTTAGGGCGTCAATGTGTACTTAAATCATGTTTAATTTGGACTTCTCTGTGCATGCTCTTTGAGGTGGTGACCATATACCTCCATTATATGACTGACAGACAAGAACGGTTTGACCTAAAAATATAAAGATTGAAAATACTGTGTAAACAAAGACACCTACATCTTGGATGCCCTTGAGGTAACGTTAAGCTAAAACATATGAACAATTAATTTCAAAGTGAACTATCCCTTTAAACCGAGGGAATATGTTTTGACTGACTTGAACAGTTGCAGCCCGCATTGTGTTTCCCACCGTTAGTGGGTGTGCTTTCTAGTCAACCAATCGCGACGCAACGACCGTGTAGAGTTCAGTTCACCACCGAATCCTTTCAAGATACAAGTGATAGCATGTATGCTAATATGCTAATGTGTAGGGCGGGCGACAAAGTTTGGGCATCTAAATAGCTTCTACAACTATATAGCTAAAGCAATACAGTAGCAATGGACGAAAACCGTGACATAATGTGAAGTATCGCCAGTGCAACAATTCTAGAAAAAGTATTTTAATATGGCTACTCGAGATACACGCCAATACCGGAGGGCTCCCAAGCAAGAGCAGGACGACGACTCTGACGCAGAGGAGTCGACTATTTCCTTAAAGAAACCTGATGGACGCGAGTCACAGATCATCCATAGTGGTCATTTTATGGTGTCGTCTCCTCATACCGATCACCCCCCAAAGAAAGGTTACGATTTCGACACTGTGAATAAACAAACCTGCCAGACGTATCATTTCGGGAAGACTAGCACATCGCATCTCTCTATTGATGCCTCCCTGACGAAGCTCTTCGAGTGCATGACCCTTGCATACAGGTGGGTTTATTAGTGAACAAAAGAGAGATTTACTACCTGTTTGTGCGAAGACTTTAGTTGGGCCACATTAATAAATGTTATTCAATCATTCCTGTGAAGATGTTAGCGCACTGCTAGCTGGGCCAAAAATTGTAGAGAAACTAGTTTACATTTAATTTCCCCGAGGTGTTGTTTTGTGTTTTAGCTGGGTGTTTAACAACCGACAATTCCTAGCTTTTTTGTTTGGCACAAAGAAAATTGTATTAGCCTGTTTAGGGTTGTACTTTTAGTCTGATAAAACTCATCAACATTGACTTTAGGCATGACATATAGACTATAAGTGAACCTGTTTACAAAATTAGACGCCACTTTTGTGAGGAAGTGTTGCATATTTTCCTCCTTCCAATCTTAGCAACCTTCTACACACAAATAAACATGTTCTTCATTTCTGAATTAAAATTATTTTTGGTGTTTTGGTGTTATTTTTGGTACATATATACACACACACACACACACACACACACACACATATATATATATATATATTAGAGATGTCAAACGATTAATCGTATCCAAAATAAAAGTTTGATTACATATATGTGGGTGCACAGTGTATAATTATTTTATATATATAAATACACGCATGCTTGTATATATTTAAGAAATATTTTCATGTATATCTCTATAAATAGATTTAGATTTATATATAATTTATATTATATATAAATATTTTATAGATAAATAATATCTTTTTCTTAAATATACATGCACGTGTGTGTATTTATATATATATAAATATATATACACACACACACAAAATAATTATACACAGTGCACCCACATATGTATTAAACTAATATATTAAACTTTTATTTTGGATGCGATTAATCGTTTGACAGCCTTAATATATATATATATATATATATATATATATATATATATATTAAAAATAGTAATGTTTCCAAACTTTTGACCGGTACTGTATCGCAAAATTGGACAAAATCCCTTCGTGTGTTCAAATAATAAACAAAGAATTGTACTACAGTAATGTTGAGAGTAAATGATTACAGAATTGTAATTTTTAGCTGGCACATATGGACACGCACAGACACACACACACCTTGCAGAATGTTATTTTATCAGGGGAATCATAAAAATTGCATGTCATTGCATTGTCATTTTTTAGTGCTGCCCTTTCACATAACAAACTTTTATACACAAGACAAAATAACAAAAAAGTTGACATGTGCTTAATACAGTAAACACATTAAAGCACTGTTTTATGATGCTTTCTACTGAAGATTAGAAAGTTAGTGGAAACTTGTTCTTGTTTTCCTTTTTGGGGTTTTCATGTTATGTGGACAATGCCTGTATTTGTTGTGCTATTGAATTTAGTATGATAGAAAAACAGTCTAGTTTTAACAGTCACTTTACAAATCCTCAGGAATGGTTCTGTCCTAAATATCCTTTTTTTTTTTTAGCATTTGTGGTAGTGGCATGTTCAATCTCAATCCAACAACAAACGCTTGTTTTCATTCAATTTTGTGTTCACTAGCATCCGTACAAGTCAAAGGGTCACATTTAAATTGAGACCTAAACTGTGGTTATCTTTTCAGATTTCCGTCTTCAAAGTATTTCACAATTTTGTTCCGCTTTGTGGAAATCATATGACACTGCTGTCTTATTCAGATCTTGCTCTTGTTTAGTTTAGTCTGAATTACTTTGCGTAGTTCCCTGGACCATGGTCTGGTTATATGCTACACTTTTTAAAACAAGAGTTCCTTATTGACTTTATTGCTCAATCAAGACATTGACTAAACAACTTCACATGGGAGGCATGGAATATATAATTATTATTGTGCTTGTGAATAAATTATGCCTAGAAAGAAGGCAAAACAACCATCATTAGTTTCTTTTAAATGTTTTATTCAGGTACTAGAATTAAACATTTAGCCTGTACATCCATATTACAAAGTAATCTGTTGGTTTAATAAGGAATACTTGACAACAGATCATTTCATTATTTAAAATTACAGCTCCCTTAGGTGGTATTATGACCACAATGCAATGCGATCCTCTCATGATTATTATCCTTTTTTTACAGTCTATGGTATTACCTTTAAATTTACTCCAGCTGCAAGTGTTTCTTTTAACCAGATTAGTCACATTCGAGTTATATGTAAAGGCCTTTGCACAAATACTCAACAAGAAATTAAGCAATACAATAGGCTGATTAGGACGATAATCAATTGAAAATTGAGAAAAACTCTCCGGATTTATTTTATTTATATATTAGCATAATGGCAAAATGTTGGGCCTTTTGCATGAAGAAATATTTTAATATTTCCACAGTATTGTAGTATGCATGACAGCAACACCAACCAATATAATAATGGTCACACTTTATATCGTTTGACTCGATTTACTTATGTACATACATTTTGGTGCATTGTAATGATATTTAAAGTACTGTACAGATTAACATCTGTAGTTAACTTTACCCCTAACCGTAACCCAAACTCTCATCCCAACCCTGCCTTTACTACTAAACCTAACCATACCTCAGACTCATTAGCAGAAAATATTGGATTTTTTTCAGAATATGTAATTACACTGTAAATTCATAGTATTGAAGGCATTGAATCTTAGTAAATAGTAGTTAAGGCCACCTGATAATAAATATTACTGTACAATTCAGGTTGATACAGGGCTCCAGACTAACTTTTCCACTGGTTGAACTGGTGCTACCAATTTTCTCAGTTGGTCGCACGGTCGCACTTTTGTTTTGTTTTTTGTTTTTTGCTGCTACATGCCATGGGATTAATCAATGAATAGTGGTTTTAATAGACCAAAGCTAGCAAAGGCTTTCTGGGTTGCAGCATAAATACCTGTAATATATTAATTATCATTGCCAAATTTCAGGATTTTGATGGATTTTGGACAGTAATTTTAATCTGTAATTTTAAGCATTTTACATTTGAATTCTATACAGTCCATCTATTTACATTTGAATAATACTCGACTGCATCTATATATCTATCTATCTATTATCATTCATCTAACCGCTGAAAAGACATAGGAAGGGGCATGCTGTTTCGTCAGACATTTTAATTTTAAATTTTAACCCTTTAATTTGTGAAGTCGTAATTGGCGCGTTCCACCATCAGTGTGCAATTGCGCGTGACGTCTACGTTCGTCAATAAATAAACTGTACGTATCTTGCGGAAGAACACTATAGCCGGAGCTACTTCTCTCCATTACTGTCTATGGCGAGTCACGCAGGCACTGGGCAACTGCGCATCCGAGTCGATCCCGGGATAAAATAGTCTGAATATAAACACTTATTATAGGCGTATCGCAGTGATTCAGGAAAAGTCAAAAACACGGTTTGGAAAATGGATTCATGATGTAGCCTACTCGTTCATTTTGAACATAAGTTACGGACTGCAGCCGCTGATACGACGGCGTTCTGTTTCGCGAGCGTCCACTCGCACATATTTTTTTATCAAAAAATGGTCGCATATGCGTCAGTCTGGAACCCTGTGATAGTTCCAATGAAATAAGTGTGAATAGTAGAGTAAAGTGGATACAAAAGCTAAATATTTAGTCTAATTCTATCCCTGACCGTGCAATATTTGGGTATCTATAATGTGCAATGTATATCAAGCTTAGACTGTAAGTGACATGAACAAAACTGGCAATTAAATGGTTCATTGCAACTATTTGTGTCACAATTAATCACCACCCAAAATGTCATGATCTGATAGTCCTAATAAACACATTTATTCTGTGTCCACAGTGGAAGGTTGGTGTCACCAAAATGGAAGAACTTCAAAGGCCTCAAGCTGCTGTGGAGGGACAAGATTCGCCTCAACAATGCTATCTGGAGAGCCTGGTATATGCAATGTAAGATTAATAATGAAACACACATACTGCTTAGAATTGTGAAAACACAGGAGTTTGTTGATTTCTGTCTGCAATGCTTGTCTTTCCTGAAGATGTAGAGAAGAGACAGAACCCTGTTTGCCATTTTGTCACACCTTTGGATGGCAATATGGATTCGGGAGTACATCGACCAACAGAGGTGAGCATGTTTGGAGTGTCTTTTTTAAAAAAAAAAACCTAAAAACCTGTTGTTGTTTTTTTCGCTTGAAGAATTTGCACTGTTCATTTCTTGATATCGATGACTTTATGGCAAGCCGTTTTAGCTTAAATTGTATCCAACCTTACTCGTCATTATTGCATTTTTACCAGTAGGAATTCAATTAGAGAGCTTTACAATTTAATGCCTACTAGTAGCAAGTACAATTATAGAGCTCTCTAATTAAATTCTTACTAATAACAATTACGATTAGAGAGCTCTCTAATTCGATATTTACTAGTAAGAATGTAATTGCAGAGCTCTTTAATTGAATTGCAGAGCTCTGCAATTGCATTCTTCCTAGTAAGAATTACATTAGAGCTCTCTAAATCAGTTTTTACTAGTAAGAATTACATTAAGAGAGCTCTTTAATGCAATTATTACTAGTAAAAACTGATTTAGAGAGCTCTTTAATGCAATTGTTACAGTAACAATTCAATTAGAGAGCTCTACAAATCAATTCTTACTAGTAGCAGTTACAATTAGAGAGCTCTCTAACTCAATTCGTACTAGTGAAAATGCAATTTCAGAGCTCTCTAATTCAATTCTTACTAGTAACAAATTCAATTAAAGAGCTCTGAAATTGCATTCTTACTAGTAAAAACTGAATTAGAGAGCTCTCTAATTGTAATTCTTACTAGTAACAATTCAGTTGTAGAGCTCTCTAATTGTAATTACTAGTAACAATTCAATTGTAGAGCTCTCTAATTAAAAATGAATGGAAGTCAATGGAGACTTATGACTAGTAAAAATTCATTTGTAGAGCTCTCTAATTGCAATTGTTACTAGTGAAAATGCAATTACGACGAGTAAGGCTGGGTACAATTTAAGCTAAAACGGCTTGCCTTAACACTTTCTCTTGTTACCATGTTCTTCTGTCCTCCTAGGCAATAGCAACAGAAGGCAAGTACTGGAAAAGGAGAATTGAAATCGTCATCAGGGAATATCATAAATGGAGAACATATTTTAAGAAAAGAGTATGTTTATTTCCCCCTTACATTGGTCTAACTTACAGTACTGTGTAACTCGGATGTTATTTATAATTCTCTTATATTTACAACATAAATACACCAATTAATAAGATTTCTTTAATAGCACTCACACATTGGAGTTTATAGTTACAGAAGCACAAGGATGAAGACCTGTCCAGCCTTCTCAAGGTAATTTCTTGAATGTTCTCCACTATTCTTGATAAAGCTTTGCTTTCAAGTCATTTTGCATCCAAGTAAAAAGTGTGTACGTGGCATGCAGTTGTTTTCTGTTATTTGTTATACAAACTTTGTCGTTCATTTGTAATTAATTGATCTAAAGAGATCAGCACTGCCCGTCTTAACATCATTTTAAGAGTTTTTGCTAAGACTAATTTTCAGTTACGAATCTTGGTTTAAACAGATCAAATACGTTTTTGTTGAAATACAGCAGTTCACATTCATTTATACAGTGTGTGTATATATATATATATATATATATATATACACTGTATAAATGTATATATGTACATATGAATGTACATATATATATATATATATATATGTAGTTTAGTCCGAAGCCACTTATGGGACACGGTGATTGAAATAAAATATGAGATGGGAGCCTAAATTTATAATTCAATGCTTTTGTGTTCACTCACAAAATCTTTGCATTGTCTTGCAAAACAGTTTTGCTTCCAAGTCATATTATTTCAATCACAAAAGTTTTGTGAGCAAAGTTAATTTGTTGGATTCCTGTGGTCAAGTGTGGTCAATGTGGTCAAGACTGAAGTTTAGCAGTGGAGCACAGACGTTTTATAGTAGTATTTAGAGACATTTAGAGAGGAGATGTGTATATAATATGGGAGAAGGCAAAGTTGGTTAAGTCGGCTGTGTCTTCAGGTCTCAGTGCAAGAACATGGAGGGTTGGCTGGCTTTTGATGACTGGAATGAAGTCGGTTTCATTTTATCTGTTACCTAAATCTGCCTGTAGTGATGCATGACAAAACATTTGCCAATAACTGGATGAAACCTTGAAATATTATCTTAAAGGAGTAGTTCACTTTAAAAAAAAAATTTTGCTGATAAATTACTCACCCCCATATCAATCCAAGATGTCCACGTCTTCCTTTCCTCAGTCGAGTTTTTGATGGGGTTTTTGATGAAAACATTCCAGGATTTTTCTCCATATAATGGACTTCAATGGGCACCAAACGGTTCAAGGTCCAAATGAGAGTTTCAGTGCAAACTGCAAACTGTTCAAAGGGCTTTAAACGATTCCAGATGATGAATAAGGGTCTTATCTAGCAAAATGATCACTTATTTCAAAAATAAATAAAAAAGTTTCCGTTTAATGAGCACAAATGCTCTGTTCTGTGATGCGCGTTCGTGACTTTCCTGTTCGAACTCGTTCATCAAAATGAACAAATCTTTTGAATCTGAGTCATTTGGTTCATTCAATGAACAAAATGACTCAAAAAGATTCGTTAATTTTTAAGCGAACGATCGTTTCGCTTGATAAGACCCTTATTCATCGTCTGGTGTCGTTTAAAGCCCTTTGAACAGTTTGCACTGAAACTCTCATTTGAACCTTGAACCGTTTGGTTCCCATTGAAGTCCATTATATGGAGAAAAATCCTGGAATGTTTTCATCAAAAAAACTCAATTTCTTTTTGACTGAAGAAAGAAAGACATGGACATCTTGGATGACATGGGGGTGAGTAAATTATCAGCAAAAGTTTTTTTAAAGTGAGCTACTCCTTTAAAATGTCAGGGAGTACTTCAAGTATGTCGTTTATGACTACGGCTGACAGAAATATTTTGGGAACCCCTGGTTTTAAAGATCACACAAAGTCAGTTGCGTAGTGCATGTGCTGCTAATACACATTCTTGATGCCTGATGCATTTTGCTCTGCATGAACCTCGAGTGTGTCTGTTGACCTGGCCTGCTTGTTGCATTTTGACCTCCCAAAGGGTGCGGAGGAACAGTTTTCGCTCTTTGGGGAAGTGTGGCCAGACACCTACCGTGTCCTCTTCTGCCAGGATGAGGATGTCAGTGTGGGAGGTCGTCGTAGGTCCCGCAAGAGTCGGGATTCGCCCGTTCCAATGGAGATGGACTCCCTTTTTGACATGGACGTGCTCATGTCTGAATTCTCAGACACACTCTTTTCCACCCTGGCCTCTCATCAACCTGTAGCATGGCCCAATCCAAGGGAGATTGGTGAGAAATAAGTCAAGTCAGCATTTTTTACACATTTATTCTTGAGTAAGATGAACTGATGAACTGGCACGCCCCCTCCTGTCTTCTTAGCCCATGCAGGCAATGCCGATATGATCCAGCCAGGCCTCATCCCACTGCAGCCCAACCTGGACTTCATGGACACTTTCGAGCCTCTGCAAGGTGTGAGCGAGATCAATTCCTCTTGTTAACTTGCGGATTAACGCTTGACATAATGACTAGAAATGTTGTGCAGATATGGCCTTACATCTACTAGGGCTGGGTATTGACATAAATTTCACAAATCAATTAATTAGCTAGCAATTCAATTCCAATCTCAATCTCGTTTAGATTCAATTTGGATTCATTTACAGTACATGCAAGTTTTTCTCAATGAAATATCTCTCTCAAATAATGTTGTAAACTGCAACAGCGCCTGTTCCGGATGGGGATTTCAAAAACACTTCATTAAAGCCAACCATCTACAAGGTGAATTACAACATTGCAAACTTTTATTTGAAGCAAAAAAAAAAGTGTTAGAAAATCTGACAAAGATACAAGACTGTACTTAACAGCTTTAGCGATGGAAAGAACTACAATCCCATGAAGCATTGCGAACAACATAATCAAGTTAAAAACGATGTAGACGTAAAAAAGTATTTATTTAAAAATATTTATTGTATATGTAAAAACAATGTTTTAAGTTTATTACAAAATATGCTGTATATTCAAATATTGAACTATTTTGACAGTAGGGAGACTCGACTCGATTGGTGGAATTTTCTGTACAGCCTCATGGTTAATGTAGATTTTAAGCACGATTATTTTAAAACTAAGCTGAATCAATGTGCGCCGACGGCTTCAACAGAAGCAAATACGGTAACACTTTATTTTAAGGTGAAGTAGTTACATGTTACGCCATGTACGTAGTTCGGTAATAACAGTAAATTATGAGTGATTGCAAGTAACTAAACCTAACCCTAGCAGTAACTCTCTACACTGTAAAAAAAATATTTTCAAGATTTGTTATCACAACATTTTTTCTTTTGTCAAATCAACTTAAATCATTTATTTAGATGAGATAACTTATTATTTTGAGTTTCTGATGATTAAATCAATCTCCTTCATTGTATTAACTCACTTTTTCCAGTTCAATCAACTTAATTTTAAGGCAACCAGGTTACTTACTTTTTTAAGTTAAACCAACAATATTTTTTTACAGTGTAAGTACATGTAGTTCATGAATATTACTCCGTACTTATTTGAGTAAGTACAATGTAATTAAGTCACCTTAAAATAAAGTGTAACTGCAAATACTATCGATTGACAATCTCGTAACCCACAGTAAAATTGTCTTTAAAGGTTTATAAAGAAGAAAAGTTTTTACTTCCGAAACCTGGCTGTTGCTGTAAGTTGGAAAATTACGATAATATTAATTGTTAAAATGAACAACTGATTTGTTAAATTGCACATAAGGCCATTTTTATTATATTGACTTTGTTAAAAACATTTGTAATGATACAATTACTCATCTGCCCCAATTCGTTTTTTGTGTCTGTCTAAAAAAAAACGTATTTAGTCAAACATAAATTAAATATTGAAGAACAGGTTTAAGTAAAAATGATTGTGTAATATATTACATATATTTACCAACTACTCCACTATATAGTGAATATTTCTAGCTAACTATCAAGCTGTGGACAATTGGACATTTAATGGCTCTAAAATGTAAAGTTACATGACTTTACATTTAAATTAGGGCTGTGCAAAAATTAATTGGGATTAATCGCCTCCAAAATAAAAGTCTGTGTTTACATAATATATTTGTTTGTGCTGTATATAATTATTTTGTATATATATATATATATAAATACACACACATGCATGTATATATTTAAGAAAATGTGTTATTCATATATAAAATATAGATTATGTATTTATATATATATATATATATACAGAATTTAAGCGCAAATAATTCTTAAATGTATACATGCATGCATAGGTATTTATATATATATTTATATATATAAAATAATTATATAACAGCACATACAAATATATTATGCAAGCACAGACTTTTATTTTGGATTCGATTAATCGCAATTAACTTTTGCACAGCCCTAATTTAAATGGTGTCTTTCCACAGTTGAAACACTGGCTGAGCGTTTAGATGAGACATTATACATTTCCATAAGCTGCACTGTATCTTTCAACATACATTCTGATTCATATTTATTTCATGCTATAACTAGTAGTAAAGAGGAAGAGATGATCGGTTCACGTGCCGCTTGAACTGAAGCACTACAGAGATCTGTCACGCCACATTATGCCAAAATGGTATTTATTGTTTGAATTTTGTCATTAAATTGACTTTGTTTCATATTAATAGTAACAAAGCACAAAGCTTTTTGTAATTAATGTTACTAAATTACGATTCATTTAACTTCAAATTGAGAAATCAATAGTCAACCAAGTCCTAAAATCTACTGGCAATCAATCTACTGGTGATTTTTTGACTAAATTAGTTAATTTTGAATCCAGTTTTGTGGAACATTCTTCGTCAATGAGTTTCCTACAGACTCACTCAATCTGTCAGAGTAGTTGTAAAGTTAACTCACTGTATCAAAAGTCTTTTTTGTGTTCCCAACTAGATTTGTTTCACACCCTGCGTCCGCAAGCCTTCCCCTTCACTTCCCAAACTTCCCCACCAGTCACTCCCTTAACCAGCAGCAGCTCCCAAACACAGGTAACCATCCTGAACATGCAACACAGATTTATAGTGCTTCTTCCTGTCTTGTATGCACTTCCTTTCCTCCACAGCAGATGCACAGTTGCTTCACTTCATGTGAAATACGAAACTCTACAGTGTCTTTATAACCCATTAGAATCATTAAAGATTAGTATGCATAACTCAACTGTGTGTATATGTGCACACTATGATAAGACACAATGGGTTACAATTGACAGCAGGGATGGGATGTATGGCTTTAAAATAGCTTATACATGACTGTACTAAAGTAATTAAAAAAATTTTTTTTTTTACAATTATTAATATTGCACAGACTGCACCAAAACTGTATAGTTCTTTTACAGACTTTTATAATTTTCAGAGATTACACACATGATTTGTTCAAATTGTAGACACTGTTAAAGGATAATTCGAGCATTTAACACCTTGAGTCTATTTTGTAGTTTGTTTTGAATGAAATAGTGGTGGACTTAGAAATTTTGACAATGGGTCCTGTCTCGACTTTTTGACTTTTTTAGAATCGCCTGTGACAGCGTTAGACCGGGTGTCTATGGGCATGCACAAACATGTCCTTAAAACAACCCTTAACGTTCATTTTCAAAACTGTGCAACTCACCGAGTGCTTGGTGGTGTTCGTTGATGTTCCGAAACAAGTAGCGTAGCGAAATACAGTTTCTGACGTGTTTTATTTGTCTTTTTTTTTTTTAAATCTCAGTGCTCGTTGATATTACTGCGCTAGCTACCGGAAAAGGAAAGGGGTCTGTTTACATTTGGTTGTAGTCTTTTCGCTCGGTTCTCCGTTTCTCAGAAGCCTAGCGTGAGCAGAGCAACTGTGCTCCCGGACTTTTTTTACGGTGCGCTAGACACCGTGTTCACCGTGTCGCCATCAAGTGGTCGGGAGTGTGCTAACGCTTCAGACTCAAATATCGAGCGGAAGTTTATACGCGGTTGTGAGGTATCTGGGGTGGTAAAATGCCATTTTCACAAGATGTAAAATAAATCTCTGATGTCCCCAGAGTGTGTGTGTGTGTAGTTTTAGCACAAAATACCCCACATATATTTTTATATAGCATTGTTAAAGTTGTCCCTTTTTGAGGTTTGCAAAAACACACCGTTTTGTGCCTGGCCCTTTAAATGTAAATTAACTGCTGCAGAGGGCGGGGTTTCAAGGGCTAGCGTATGTTAGCACCTGCGATGTCCTCACGCAGACACACTAAAATGACAGAAACTGTTCTCCCTTTAATGTTAAAATGGAGTCAGTCAAAGATGGAGAGACTCAAGAAGAAGTGACAACATGTAGAATGCAACAGGACGTCTCTGAATGGTTAGTTGATGAATTTATGTTGAATATCTTCAATTAGGATATTCTGTCATGTAATTTATAAATCGCTCATATAGGAGTGACTTTCTATTGCATGTGAAAAGATGGATGCTAAAGTTGGAGCTGACTCACAAACGTACTCTTATACAACCACTCTTCCTCTTCTCAACATGGACTTTGTGTTCCCGGGGGCGGGGCTTATGCACATTTTAGGGTTGGTGATGTCACTAACCCGGGAGGAAGCTCGTGTAGTCCCTACCTGCCGTTTGATGTAGTCCTTTTCTTTAAAAGCAAATATCTTCCTTTGCTTTGAACTTTGAGCGTTGTAACTTTGATACTGTTGTTTATGCTCAAACAGCAACATTAGACACTAACTAAAGTTCAAATCATACTTTACCACCCCTTTAATGTATTATATCTACCACATTTGCAAAGTAATCGCAAAAACATTGCAAATATTTACTTGTTAGGTTTAGTACTTGTTTTCCTCAAACTATGATATGTACAAAGCAAAGGCTGAAAAGAGTATGCATTGTGCTGAGATTGATACCTGTTGTTTGCTAGAATCCCTTGCTGTCGTCCATGCCGGAGCTTCCCTCTCTGCCACCGGACTACCGCCTCATCCCGTCTGCTCCACTGCCCAGCCATCTCGCAGTCGCCAACCAGGACAACGGTAATGCCGCTGGCCCGTCCTACCAACAAGCCTACGTGCCTCTTTACACAGAGCAAGTGACTCCGTCCGTCCCATCTCTCCTGCCACCACCAGCTCCACCTCTCCCGCCAGGAGGTGTTTCAACAGACACTACAGTCCCTCAGCCCGACACAAACATCCCATCTCCTTCTGTAATAACACACTCCGCCCCTTCCACAGTAACTCCCACTGATGCTGCCACTACCTTCAGTCGCAGGCCCAGCTTTGAGTCTCCATCAACCTCTGCCTTACCAAACTCACAGTCGGTCAACTTCGCCTTGCCCAAATCCATTCCACCTTCTGTTCCTAGCAAAAAGGCCAGACACCCACAGAGACAGATTGTCCCGGCCAATCCACTGCCTTCTCAACTCATACTCACAGGTTTGTGTCTCTCCTCAAAGCAGGTTTTTTTTAACATGCTCACTAACACACATAAGACATCTAAAAATGGACTCACATTTAACATATTCTGTTGTTCAATTACATACAGGGGTTGGACAAAAAAACTGAAACACCTGGTTTTACTACACAATAATTTGTTAGAATGGTGAGGGCCTCATTTTGCATCCAAATACAGCACCAATTGACAGATAGAAGTCCTTCACAGTGACCAGAGGGATTATGAGCCGTTCCTCTTCCAGAACAGTGTCCAGGTCACTATATGATGCTGGTGGACTCGCTCCTCCAAAACACCTCAATAATATTCAGATCTGGTGACTGTGCAGACCATGGGAGATGTTCAACATCACTTTCATCTTCATCAAACCCTTCTGTCACAAGTCTTGCTGTGTGTGTTGGTGCACGGTTTGAGCATCAGGTGCTCATGATCCTCCAGAAGGGTTTGGTAGTCCTCGGCAGTGTCGTGTCCATCAAATACAATCAGGATTGTCATGATATTGGAGCTCAAACCATCACTGATCCACCCGTGCTTGACTCTGAAGATTGGCCGCCAGGCATATAGATGCGAAACCTCCAACATTGGCCAGTGTTTCAGTTTCATTGTCCCACCCCTGTATTTCTATAAACCATTTAATAATAAGCAACACATTTTCAGGTTGATATTTTTATAACATCTTGCATAAACTTTAGAAAACGGCAGCTGTGGTTGTAAGATCATGACAGTAGAAAGTACAGTAAGTAGTAGTAACTTAAATTTACAGGAATAAATTAGCAAAAAATAAGCATTTTTGATCAAGGATTCATGGCACCCAGAATATCTGAACATGCAATACACTCACCTAAAGGATTGTTAGGAACACCATACTGCAACATAAGATTAACAAAAACCTAACATACGTAACTGAGAACAAAACTAAGAAGAAACAAGGATTACAGTGATCAAATGTGAGCCACCACACAGAGAATTCTGGGAATCAATGTCAGTTTACTTTTTTCACTGTAAATTATAAGATGCCTTGTTAATTTTCATTTCTGAGAATTGTACATTTAGACACATTTCATTGTGAAATGACACCGTTAACCAATTAACAGGTTTTTAACCGTAGAATTTTACGATGTTGTACTGTTAATTTCTTTTTATGCCATACAGTGATGGACAGTGATGGTTATGCTGTTTTCATTTATCAGTAATTGATGGAGAAAGCCTCTCCATGTTGGTAATTAAGATGAATTTTGATAAATATTTTAGCCTGTTTAGCAGTTCTAATTAAAATGTTCATCTATTAGTGGATCTTCAACAAATACAATGGATCCCCCAAAAATCATCCAGAAAACTGATAGTAGGATAAAAATCAACAGCATTGCCAAGCTGAAATTGTTCTCATCATGTACATATCCCATCATAACCATTCCCAGGTCCCGCCCGTGCTGTCATTGTTACCTCGTCCCCTCTCAACTCTGATGTTGTCCCCACCACTGGTTTCATTGCCTCCTCCAGTATTCCTTGTGTAAGATTTCCACCCTTCATGTCCTATCATGTTTTACAATAGTCTATCTAAACGGGTTGTGTATCATTCAGGATTGATTTAAAGAATCTTTTAAATTTCAAAATTTTAATTCAGTTCACAAGCAGGATGCAGAATTATAATTCAAATTTGAATGAAAGTAAGAATTGAAAATGCTATTGTGTAATGGCTAATAGTAATTTTTATACATTTTTCAGTCTAAAAAAAACCCGAACAATTTCATACAACATCTACACTACAGTTCAAAAGTTTGAAGTTGGTAAGATATTTTTTTATTTTTTTAATCTAAACAATAATGATGATAAAACAAATTCCTTGATGAATATAAAGTTCAAAATAGCAACATGTATTTGGAATAGAAACCTTTTGTAACACTATAAATGTCTTGACTTATAATTTTTGATCAATTTTATGCGTCCTTGCTTTATAAAAGTACTAATTTCTTTTAAATAAAACTTACTGACCCCAAACTTTTGAAGGTTAGTTTGTGTTTTGGTCTGAGGCCATGTCTGCTATACAAGTTAACATCAGCTCATGCACAAATATAGTATTTCTCTTCCGTGAAATCACACCAAACATTATTGACTCATCTTGCACTCATGGACGTGTTCAAAGAAATGGTACAACTCTCTCACCCTTATAACACTTGTCTCTGACTAGCAATGATAAGTAGCAATGGGTGTCAATGTACATACTTTCAACATACTTTCTAATTCAATAAAAAATGGGTACACGGAAGAGAGAATATTGTGCTTAAACAGTTTCTTGGGAATTTTTCTATAGTGTGACTTGAATTTCAAATTCACTAAATTAATTTCCTACTTTTCCAATTCAGCATCCTGTGAGTTGTGATTCGTTCCATTTCTGATTCATAAATTAAAAAGGCAGCCAGGTCTTAATTAGAGCCAGACCAATATATATCGGCAGGCCGATATTAGGCATTTTCCAATCTATCGGTATCGGCAGTTATAATGGCCGATAAATTAATATTTCAAAAATAAAATAAAAATGGACGAAACACGCTTGAACCATGTCACGAGTGTTGGAGTTGTATAGTTTGTTCACCAGAGAGCACTCTACACCGTCCCTGTTGGCAACACTCGTTGAGTTGGTCATGAGACGTACATTGCTTGGATAACAATTAAAAGAAAATCTCCATCAGTTCTCTTAACTCAAATAATCATGACAAAATTTGTGACTATCATGTCCAGTTTCAAATAAATGAATAAAATATCGGCCGATATATCGGAATATCGGATTTTAAAACCCAAAAATATTAGTATCGGTATCGGCCTTCAAAATCCTTTATCGGTCGGGCTCTAGTCTTAATTTTGAATTCTACCCAACCCTAGTAAATAATAATTAATTTGGGCCCCAATCAATCCAAAATTACAATAAAAATGTACACACTACTTTGCAGGGTTCTGCTGGGTTTCATATTCTCCCTCAGACACAGAAGTCTCCCCAACTGATCATACCCAAAGAGGAAACTGCCACAAATGTGTCCAGCAGCAGGACATCTGTACAGTCTTCAAGTACAGGTTCGATTCAGCCCAGTCAATTTACGCTGAATTCACTGAATTTAGGGTTCTGAGCAATTTTTATTGTTTATTCCTTTATCTTTAGCACACGACGGACGTGTTTCGGGTCAAGGGTCTCCATTGGGAGCAGAACAGGTACCAAGCCCCCAGTCACCTCTTAACACCAGCGCAGGCATGGGCAAAAATGGAACCTGTAAGGTACGGTTCATGAGATCGCACTCTACTCATGTTGTCTAACTGTACATTGATGCGATGTATTCAAAAGGTTTCAATTTTCACAATAGAAAACATTTTCACAATAGATGATAGTAGAAAAGTTGCTGATATTGAATAAATGAATGGCAAATTTGAAAGATTATTTACTTTTTTCATGTGTGTTGGGGGGGGGGGGGGCTAACAACTTTCTTAATTGGCCAATTGAGCATAATTGTCACTAATTTTTATGTTGAAATATCCAAATATCTGGCAATTTCTCAGTCTGTCTTGTTTTGTAATTTTTGCTTTGACAGAGTCGCAGAGTGACTCACATATCTGCAGAGCAGAAGAGGCGATTCACCATAAATGTCTGCTTCAAGACATTGTGTAATCTTGTGCCGACCCTCAAGTCTCAATCAAATGTAAATCTGCATTCATCTTACTTAATTCTCAAAATCAAGATTCACTTCATTTTTTTTTTTTTTTTTTTGTGGAGCATATAATTTGCTTGAATTTGTCTCTGCATAAGGCCATGTGTCCACCAAAGTGTTTTTTCCACGTATGTATCAATTTTTGTATGATGGCGTATGTATCAATTTTTTTCAAATGGGAGTGCCGCGTTTTTTAAACGCCATGAGCCTGAGCTCCCGACATTTTTTTTACTGGTCGCCGAGAGTTTAAAAATGTTTGGATAAAACGCAGCGCTCATCACTGTCACTTTTTACCCAGCCGTCCAATCACAGAGAAGGAGGGGCGGGACTAAACCACACTGACCAACTGTCACAACATTCTTACTGTACAACGACATCAAGCAGCAGAGCTAACCGAACAAAATGGATGAAAAATATTTTTTTAGTATGAAACAAATTATCTGCGAAATCAGTTTCAAGTAAACTGTGCTGCCGGATATTCTGTATCATAGCAACAAAACGTCTTAACGGAAAAAACGCTGCGCTGACAAAACGCTCTCAAGCGCCCACAGCTAGGCGTCTTCATCATATTCTGGCGTCTTCTGCTGGCTAAAAATGCTTCGGTGGACACACGGCCTAACTGTAATGGTCGAAAGTGTTTTAAAGAAGTATGATGTTCTCTTCAAAGGTCGTTATTTAGTTTTTTTTTTTTTGGATGTGCTAGAATAGGAAAAAACACATTTATATTTCACATATTGTACATTATTGCAATTCGCCTTTTAGTGCTTAATTAGTGCTTAGTCATTCTACAACCGAATTAACAAAAAATGCAGGTAGTGACAACCGCATTTACAAAATTTCTACGCAGTGTGTACAGAACCAGACAAGTGTTAATGAAGTATGATGAGAGATATAAGACGAGAGATACGTACATTAAAGGAGTAGTTCACTTTAAAAAAAAAACTTTTGCTGATAATTTACTCACCCCCATGTCATCCAAGATGTCCACGTCTTTCTTTCTTCAGTCGAAATTCAATTAAGGTTTTTGATGAAAACATTCCAGGATTTTTCTCCATATAATTCATCAAAATGAACAAATCTTTTCATTGAATTACCAAATGACTCGAAACAAGATTCGTTCATTTTGACAGGAGAGTGACAGAACAGAGCAAGACGAGCATTTGAGCTAAGAAAACTTAAACTTTGTTATTTATTTTTTAAATGAGTGATCGTTTTGCTTGATAAGACCCTTATTCATCGCCTGAAATCGTTTAAAGCCCTTTGAACAATTTGCACTGAAACTGTCTTGCACTGAAACTGAACCAAACAGTTCTGCACAAAACTGTTTGGTTCCCAATGAAGTCCATTATATGGAGAAAAATCCTGGAATGTTTTCATCAAAAACCTTAATTTCTATTCGACTGAAGAAAGAAAGACAGGGACATCTTGGATGACAAGGGGTTAAGTAAACCCTTTAAAAGTGAACTACTCCTTTAAAATACGAGCCAGGCTTAAACAACAACCCCAAAAACGCTTATAATACACGACGCCTCTGCAGACTGTGCTTTAGTTAAAATTGCTGAACACAATGAAACTTTACAGTTTGCACATGGTCATTGTGACGTAGACAAGTGCGGTGGTAATCTGAACTTCCATCAAGGCGTTTTATAAAATATGTGAAACACCATGAGCCTGCTAACTTTGCAGATCTTATACAGGCACATTGCACACTAAAGGAAAAAGAAAACCTTAAAAAGCATCATATTGCCCCAAAATAATTACTGTTTAATTTTGGCCCTTAAACAGCATAACATGCTTGTGATGCAACTTTTTTGTCACCCATATCTGGGTTTTCAGATCAGTAATGCTGCAACACTTCAGAAAACAGTTGATTACATTGGCAAACTACAACTAGAGAGACAACAGATGCAGGAAGAGACCAAGAGACTACGAGAGGAGATTGAGGAGCTTAATACATCTATAAGGTAAGTGTTCATTCAAAATAAAAATTGGGAACTAATTGGAAGCATTACATTTGGAAAAACTGCCAGGATATTTCAATGTAACGATATGTAGACCTGCTTATTCTCTGTAAAAGATGCCCATTATTTATTGCAGCTTGTGCCAGGAACAGCTCCCCGATACAGGGGTTCCCGTTACACGACATCGCTTTGACCACATGAGGGAGAAGTTTGAGGACTATGTGAAGAACAGAACTCTTCAGAACTGGAAATTCTGGATAGTATCCTTAAGCCTGAAAAGATTGAACTGAATAGACAAATGGCGCTTTTCCACTACACAGTACCATCTCGACTCGACTCGACTCGTCTCGTCTTTGTTTGGTTCTCCACTGTGTAAAAGTTGTACCTGTACCTGCTTTCGGGTACTTTTTTTTGAATGACCTACGGCGAGGTTCTGAGCGAGCTGAGGCGATACTAAAATGTGACGTGAAAACAATGCCGGCTGCTGATTGGTCAGAGAAAATCGTCACTATTCACCGTGTCATCATTGCATGCGCCAGATGGAGTATCCAAGAATAACCCCGCCATTTTTAAATAGTTTGGCCAGAGATAGTTACTAAACTTACTACTATTATTATGGCAACTCGGAAGAATACGTCATGGCCAAACGAGGAGGTGCAGACTTTCCTTTGTATGATTCGTATAGTCTAGGGCTGAGTAATAAATATTGATTTCTCGATATTAATCGATTCTTATTTTTATGAACCGACATCGATTTTTAAATCTCAAGAATCGATTAGTCATCCTGTTTCATTTGAATAAATGGGACATTGTCTCGCGGCTGCGCGCATCCAAAAAATCGCAATAATCTTTGTCCTTTGTTACTATTGATATGAAACAAAGTCTCAATTTTCAAATTACGTCCATTTTCTTTAGAAATTCAAAAACATAAATAACGTTTTGGCGCTGTGGCGTGAGATCGCTCTGGCACAGCTCAAGAGAAGCAGCAGCGCTGATCTCTCTTCCGGCTTAATAATACCAGTCACAGCACGAAATAAACATGAATGAGCATCTGAAAGTGTGTTAAAAGTGTGATAGAGTACAACTTATCGAAATCTGTATCATGTCACATTGATTCGCTCAAACTGCGTTTCATCCGTGGAAAGACGTCAGTTAAACAGCTTGTAATCAATGTCATGTATCGTCATATTTACCTCAGAAAACCCACATAAACTCGTTAGTCAGGTAGAAAAAATAACTCTAGAGAGGAGCATTTTGCTAAATATACACACCATATTACATATGCATTATAATCTTAATATTCTTCAATATTTAATGCATTTTTGAATAAATCTGGCAAGTTTTATGACAGCCACCATTTAAATGTTTATATTTCATATAATCTTCTTATTATAAAAATAAACAAAAGTGTAATTTAAGTGTTTGTATAGCTACAAAACAGTTCATTATTACCTTCATATTAGGCTAATGAAGCCTATTGGCTACAACTAGTCTCCCAAAGTTTACAGCTTTAGTTAAGAGATTTGATTCCCTTGAGAAAAATGGCCATTTATTGTAACTGATATCCAAAATAATCGATATTGAATCGAATCGAAATCGAATCGAATTGTGAAATTTGTCTCAATACCCAGAGCTAGTATAGTCGCATATAAGATTACGTCACGGCAGTTTCCTGCGGCGTCGCTATGGCCATAGACTCTTTGGTCATGGCATAGACAGTGGCTATGACGACCGGGTACTGTCTGCAATGGAAAACGGAGCGAAAAGTCGAGTCGAGCTGGTACTGGTAATGAAAAAGCGGCAAAAATGTTTGTACTGGATTGGACTCGTATTTTCTTTAATACTCCTCTCTCAGTTTAGCGTCATTATTCAACCTCTGTTTGAGTCCTTCAATGGGATGGTGTCTACCACCAACAACACAGAGCTTTGTGAATCCACCATGCAGTGGCTGGATCGTTACTGTGCCCTCCCTGTCCTCCGACCTAGTAAGATCACCGTTCCACTTTATTGAAATGTCAGCAACTTTTTCTTCGACTGGACAGTTGTAGTCTGGCTTAGACTGACGGCAGAAGGTCTGGACTCCATAGCAGCTTTAATTAGCCAAGGGGACATCTGACCGACATCAACCAATCATAGTTTGTTTTGTTCAGTGTCATGTTTAGGAGTGTAAAAAGTCACTGTTCTCACAATAACAGACTTGTATGCAATGGGCTATATGCACGCATAAGTTCCGCATTTGACGCAAGGATGCTCGTCCATTTCCGGTTGGGGAGATTAAAGCGGACGAGAACCGAGGAAAACGGGATTATGGCTGAGTCTTCCAAATTTACTGTCCTCCCGACTTTGAAACGAAACGTACATACGTTTAGATGTAATTTTATATATAGTTATGTTTATTTAATATAATTTTTAAAAGAAGCATAAACACAACGAGGGGCGTCTGTTTTATCTGTTTTTGTGACTAACGTTTCTTTATTATAACCATGGAGTATAAAATTCAATATAAATTCTCGGTATTGCATTGGACTCTACGATCGGCGGAAGTTATCGAGCATCCCTAATCCTTCACCGGAAATACCGCCGTGCATAGAGCCCATTCATTCAAAAACATAATAGTACTGTCCAGCGTTTAGTTGTTTCTGATAAGACTCATTGTCACAGCTGTAAACACGACGGCATTCTCCTTCTATGAGGGGGTTTGGCTTCATGATGGCTTTGTTTCTAGGTGGACCGTTAAAGAACGTGACACGCGTCTCCGGGAAATCCGGATTCAACCAATCGTGTTTTCCATTTTGTGTGTCATGTGCATTAGACTTGAATATTTGTTTGGTAAATGGACTGCATTTATAGAGCGCTTTCACAGACCCAATGGCCACCAAAGCTCTTTACATTTGCCTTACATTCACCCATTCATACACCGACGGCGGTGTCGGCCATGCTAGGCGCCATCCAGCTCGTCGGGAGCAGCTGGGGTTAGGCGTTTTAACTTTTGGCATTTTAAATCGCAATTTTATCCATACATTTGCAGTTTAATTTTATTTTTTCTTCCCTAAATTGTGCAGCCCAAGTAAAGAGCGATACAAAGCAGCATATCCTTCTCCGTCGTTTTTGTTTTGGTTCTTGTACTAAACTTCCTTCCGAGCGAATGTCCTGTAAATGACACGACTCAGTAACTTCATAGAGACAGACTGACAGACTGAGAAGAGAGGAGCTGCAACAATGTCGAATAAGGGGAAAATAATAATTTTTTTAACATTCAAGCTTGAAAACCTATTCTCGTAGAGCCCAAAAACAAAACCAAGCTTTGAACTGCCTATTGGTTGTGAAATGATGATAGAAATATCTAATGTTAGTACTAGTGTTTTGGTGGTCTCGAATGCACAAACTTCTTTTGTCCTATTAACCTCACGCTTTCTATTCTGTTACAGTTTCTACATTTTGATATCTGTGTATTATGTTCACCATTTTCTTCCTTTGTGTGTGTTTTTCTGTATCGTACAGTGGTGCTCAAGACATTACGACAGCTCTGTACCACCACCTCCATCTTGACCGATCCCGCACTGTTATCCGAGGAAGCCAAAAAAGCTGTTCTCAACCCAAAAAAACATTCCTCGTGATCCTCAGTTTTAACCCTCTGACATTGAAAATGTGATTTTTAAGATTTTTTATCCAGGCATGTCAGTCTTCAGGAGCCTTGTGCCTGTGGTGAGATCTTTGCTTTGTTGTTACTAAAAACTCTACGTACATGGTCAGATTTTTTGCTTCTCTTATGTTCAGGAATATGCAAATGGCCACTCAGTCCACTGAATTCTTTTCTTTTTTAGCATAAGCGATTTATTTTAAAATGACAAACCAAAGTCAGTCTCTCTTGTTTACGTTCATCATCTTGATAGCCATACAGCTGGCATGTCTCCGACTGCATAGTTTTACTAGACCTGTTGCCTTGAGACTCAGGGTGTGTGTTTGTTTTTTCATATGTTTGGGTGTTTTCTGTATTTGATGCTGTTATTCTGATTATTTAGTGTCCTTTTATAAATTTAACCTCTGTTCACCCCAAAAACCGCTACACCATTGAACAAATACCAGGAATGAGACTTTTTAAGAGCATGGACAGATGCATGGGCCTGCAAAACTATATGCCGAAAATAACAAATATTTATATTCATGTAAGTGTGAAGTGCGTTTGTTGTTTCTTAAGATGAACATTTAAAGGACTTTCGATAGGCTGATTAGTGTTTGTTTTTTTCTTTTGGGGAGGACGTCTTAATGTCAGACACCTGATTTCAGCAGTTCATATTAAACGGCCCACAGATCTAAAATGCAAGGTGTACCATCTATTATTAAAGAATGAACTTTTTTTTTCACTATATGTTCTGAATGCTGATTTGCTCAACACGTTTCTGCATTTACTTGGTGAAAAAAAATGAAGTAACTGTGGAATGTTCCCAATAAAAATATATGAATTTTGCATTCATTTATATGCAAGGCAATTGATATAAATGTCATTTGTATGGGAAGTTGGAGGGTATTTTCACTAATCTGAGCAAAACAGGTCAGGCTATAAGTAACTTAGTCATACAAACAGTTGTGCTGTCTCCTTTTAGTTCAGGCTTCATTTTCAGTCATTTAAATTCACATTTATTTTTCAATCCGAACTTTATGTTTTAAAATGTTTGACACACACGCTATGGAGGATTTCTCCCTTTTTGTTTTTGAATTAGTACGTCAGGTTGGATTTGATGGTGGTTGAAAAGGTCATCGCTCGCACCTAAAAGGGTACAATATGTAGCTTTTTTCCCCTAAACACCAGTTAAAAATGTGTGCAGACAAAACTTGGGAACCTGGTGTCGTATCAAAATCCAAATTGTAGAATTTGACAAAAATATGTGGAGAGGACCACCCTGCCGCCACACAAATGTCCTCCAGGAGAGCACCTCTAAAAGGGGCTTGAGAGGAAGCCACGCCCCTGGTGGAATGTGCCTTGATGCTAAGAGGTAAAGGTAGACCACGCACCTCATAAGCCAATGAAACAGCGTATGTGACCCAGTGGGAAATTCTCTGCTTTAATGTGGCAAGCCTGCGGGCGGCCAGCACCAAAACATACCAAGAGCTGGTTGGATTTTCTCCAACCACTAGAACGATCCACATACACCTTCAATGCCCGGACCGGGCAGAGCAAGTTAAGCTTTTTTTCCTCCTCAGACCCATAGACAGTAAAATAAATGGACAGAGCGATCTCATTGGAACCCCATTGAGACGATTGAAGCCCATTTTTGGCGATTTTTTTTTTTTAGCACTTCCGTCCCTGACGCGCAGCCTCAAACAGAGCTTGACGTAGTTGTGACGAGAGCAACCCGTCTGTCTTCTAGTGCTGTGGCATGACAAATCTGAATCATTCTCTTCCGAAACATGCAGAGGCGAAGAGTGTGAATAAGAGCTGTCCATGAGCTAGGAGGAGACAATTTTGCTAGGTATTCTGATTAATTATTTTGTCATTTTGCCTCCACGTTTCCCTGATTGTGCGCGAGCTTCTTCTCCTGTCCATACAGTAATCTCTCTACTGTGCGACAGAGAGTCGCATGGGTATGACACAATTGTTAGCCTACTTTCACTAAAACTGCTTCTACTGGGGCCATAACATAAGCTACAATGTAATGGAGCATTTTATACATTGTCGTGTTTCTTTAGAAATAAATAAAGGACAAATGGGGTCTTCAAACGCCTCAGATGTAAAGTTATTCGCTGTCAAAGTGACGCCAAAATGAATGGGAGTCAATGGGAATGCTAACGCAAGTGAAGTTCTGCTAAAAGATGGCAGCTCCCGCGAGGCTTCAACTTCCGGTCGATGGATTACCCCCTTGCTCAGACCCAAACGGAGGAGGGTGGAAAGAGCAAAGGTTAACAACCTGAGAGGCACATAACCTGGCTTTGGTCTCGCTGGCGAGGGAACGGGCGACCACGGACTCCCCAGACCGTAGCAGGTGGAGGATGAGCCGAGTCACTTCTCCTAGTGGCAAAATCCAGTCTATGAGAAGAGCGATCTCTGGGTTGAGACGGGGAGGGGTTGGAGGATTCCCTAGCCTTCCTGGGCATGGACTGCCTGAGGGCAGCTGACTGGGACTTGGCGGCCTGAAATTTTTCAACCACAGTGTTGACCGCCTCCCCGAACAGACCAGACTGAGATACTGGAGAATCCAAGAGGAAAACCTTCTCTTTATCCCGGATCTCTGTGAGATTAAGCCATAGGTGGCGTTCTGCAGCAATAGCCCCCGCCATCGAACGCCCTATAGCGCGTGCTGTATGCTTGGTGGCCCTTAAGGCCAGATCTGTGGCCTTGCGGAGCTCCTTGACAGCTTCCGGTGTGATACCCGTCCCCTCATCCATTTCCTTTAAGACATCTGCCTGATAGGCTTGGAGGATGGCCATAGTGTGTAGGGCCATGCCAGCCTGACCAGCTGCCATGTAGGACTTCCCGATAAGGGCGGAAGTAGTCCTGCACGGTTTAGAGGGCAAGATTTCCATGAAGGCGCCGACGACGGAGAAAGGTGTGTAGCCAGCGTGCCCTCGACCGCTGGAATAGTGGAATAACCCTGCTCCACAGAACCAACGAGGTTGGTGAAGTCAGCGGCTGCCGCGTTCGTGAGACGCGCGGAGAAAGGCTGCCTCCAGGATCTGGAGATCTTGTGATGCAGATCGGGGAAAAAGGGCAGCTTTCTCCGCTCAGGCCTGGAATTAGGGCCACTTTCGTCGAGCTTAGAGGACTGTGACTCGCGCCTCGCGGGGTTCATCGGGCTAGTCGATGGAAAGCTTCTCAGTGGCGTGCGAAAGCACGTTGACAAGTTCCGTGTAGGGCGCAGTAGGCGGGAGAGCGTCTGAAGCTAACACAGGCCCGAAATCCTCGGAGTCGGACACCGTGGTGTAAATAATATCTTCCAGCCCAAAAGAAACCGACTCGCGTGCTCTAGGGCTGGGGCACAAATAATCATGAGAGAGCTCGACCGGCCCAACACTGCGTGCGTGCTCAGGGGATGGAGGGAGAGAAAGGGTCTGGCCCGTCTGCTCGTACTCAATATCCTCGAGCTTTACATCCGAGCCCCAGGACGCGGATTCCAACGAGGCCTCGGGAGCGTGACGGTGGGGGAACGAATGACTCTTCCTCAAACCCTGCGAGTGGAGGGTTTTGAAAAGGAGGTTGTTTACATTTAGAAGAGCCTAAAACAGCCTCGCGCGCATGCAAAAAAAACCCCCAAACAATTAATACACTTACTGTGCGGGTCGTCGTTCGCGATAAAGCGAACGCATGGCGGTGGGCAACGACGATACTCCATGGCACTTCACCGCAAGGAGAACAGGGTTTCACTAATAGCAGTCGCTGAAGTTCAAAAGAAGAAACTCGCTGTAATAATCCAATATACGGGCTCAGAGAAACCGAAATCGAAGGGCTAAGATGGCCGCTTCATGAAGGCAGAAAAATCTGAGGAGCAGATGGCACGCGCACTACTATAATGCGTCAAAGGGCGCGCCTGCACCATCAGCCAATGGAATTAGCGTGATTCTATAAGGGCTTCAGACAATCGGCACACCCAGATGGCGTTCCCAATGCGTCATAAGCTATGCAGCGTTTAGTGAACCTATGAAAGAGAACTCAAGGCCATGCCAGGCGTGCAGTTCGTTTGTTGCTGACTTTGATTGTAACTTGCTGAAGACACAACTTAATTATTGGTTTAAACAACCGTGATGTGTTGTTCTGTTTTAAAGTGTTTGATTTTTAACTTTGATTATATTATACGTTTACATAACGTTACGTGTTAAAATATATATAAATTACGTACGTTTCCTTTTTTCTTTTTTAATAAAGAGGAACAGAAAACACGCCAATATAACCATTTTTATTTTCATAGAAAAAACAAACAAAATTTGTCATTGTATCCAATGTTTAGAGTTCTCTATGGGTCGCGCATTTTTGCTGAGTTAGCATTTTAGCACTTCCCGTTCCATGGTGTTGATTGAAGTTAATGTGATTTAGTTTGAAAGCCTGAAATGAGGTCAGTGGTAAACATAAGCTCAATATATTTTTATATTTTATGACATAAAACAGACCAGGAGCCTACCCCTATCCGTTATTTCTTTTTAACAAGCTTATTTGTGTTGAAAAAGGCGGTTACTGCTAACAAGTGTCGATCTAAAATGGGTTTATCCTTTGACTGTCTATGGGTTATCCTCACCCCAGAGGTTGTCGGGACTTTAAACATCGCTTTCACAGCCTCGTTGTGTCACGCTTTTGCAAACTAACTCAAACTTTCAGGGAAAATGTGTTTTGAATAAAGACTGAAAGAGAGTAAAGTCTGTTCCATATTTTTTAATGAAAAATGTGTATTTGACAAACAAATTATATATTTTAAGTTGTGCAATTAATAGCCTCTTTTTTGTTGCTGTTACATTTCAGTCAAAATATTTAAAAATGGAGAAATCATACTGATCATTTTTTGGAGAACTACCATTAGTACAATAAATATTTCTCATTCCACCCCAATATTCTTCATCTTTGAAAACAAATTTGAAGAAACAGGTGAAGTTGGACACACTTAGCAATCACCCAAAGAGTGGAAAATCTGATTATTATTATTTCCATCATGCTTTGACAGATCATATGTGATGTTATTTTGTGATAGGGTTTTACCCTTGTGGAGAAGAGTGATGGGCCAAGAGATTATAAGGCCAGCATGTTGCATTATAAAAATAAGGACGAGATATCTAAAAGGCTTGTCATATGAAACGTCTAAATCTTGTCTAAATCATATGAAATTATTATTATTATGCTGAACATGTAAAATGTTCTGTCATGGGTTGAGGGGTGTAGGGGACATTATGCCTATGGAAAGTCCCCATTAAACATGAAAACCCAATGTGTGTGTGTATGCTTAATGAGGACCTAAATGTGTATATGACAAGTGACCTCGTGAACCAAATGGCTTAAAAACATACTAAACAGTGTTTTGTTTTTCTCAATTCAAAAAATGCAGAAAGTTTTCTGTGATGGGTATATTTAGGGGGATGATGTGTGTTTGCACACACCACTGCCATAAGTAATGTACGCACATATATTGCTAGCTAAATTTAGTGGCTTCAAATAAAATAAGCTCACATTAGGCTATTGTTTTTTAAATGAAATTTGACTTACGTTTACTTAATTCATAAGATATAGTTCATTGATTTCACAACATTAAAGATTAAGCAATATTTTCAAATGCAAAAATGTTTCGAGTAGGTTACATGAAGTTTTAAGATTTTTTTATTTTGTTGTGCTTTAGCACAGAACATTGCCTGAGAGAGTAGGCTATACAAAAATGGGATTGCTTGAAAACAAGCATAACAGATCTAAAACATGACATGCCTTTTTCCTCACCATTCAGAAATGTTCAGATGCAAAAACGCTACAAAGCACTCATGTGTGAATAAATAAAACACAATAAATAAA